TTATTTCGCGCGGATGATCACGAGAGGGTGTGAAGCTGGTGCTGGGGGAGGGGGGGGGGTTCTAGGGGAGTGGTAAGAGGAGGAGGAGGAGGGGTGGGGAGGAGTTTACGGAGGAGAAGGGGCCGAGTCGTAATAGAATCTGAAACGTGGACGACAGTGGACTCGCTTTCCTGTGCTCTTTTCCTTCTCATCAATGGCAGTGGAAATGCGAGATTTTCTCCCCTGAAATTGGCCACAGCTGTTGTTGCATGTGCGGCGGCGTTTAGCGGCTCCTCGCGAGAGATGTGTTTAAAATGCGCTCCTGCGTATGTGTGTGTGTGTATGTTGAACGAGTGTTGTTAGCGCGCGCGCGTGCGTTACGTTGACACGACCACCCGGGCGTGTGAGAGATCCGCGTGTCGTGTGTCGACGTCACTTAGCCCCCCCCCCCATCCTAACCCACTAACCCCCACGGTGCTGTGACCCCAAAGCATGGGGACACCCCCCCCCTCCAACCCCCTTCCTCCAGCCCGCACGTCCATTCGATTATCGGCAGCGGTCACGATCGTGCTTAGTGGGGGGCGGGGCGGGTAATCGGGTACGGGGGAGGGGCTTTATGGGGAGGGGGGTGCTGCGGGTGGGAGTTGAAGGGACGAGGGGGGGGGGCTTTTTGGCCCTCGACTTGAGGCCCTGTCCCCTGCCTCTGAGAGGCGCGGTCGCAACAGTCTGCGAAGGTTATGCGGAGGAGGTGGTGGTGGTGGGTTGGGGAATTCTTTGTTCTTGTGGGTGTTTTTTTTTTGTTCACCTTCCACCCGTAAGCAGGGCTACAGGTTCGAGACTCGCAGCTGTGCACGTCACTCCCATGAGCAAGAGCCCCCCCCCCCCAACTTCATCCAGTGAAATAATCATCAATGGCTCAGTAGCCACCAGAGTCTTAGCCCCCCCCCCCCACACCCATAGGCCACCCGCCACGTTACTAATTCATGGCGGGAACCGCACGCGCTCCTCTGAACGATTTCCAAAGAATAAATTAAGAACTAAATCGGAATCCCAGGGCATCTTAACAATTCATGCGCGACTGGGTTTGTAATTCAACGTTCAGTTGGAGCGCGGCGCTACGCGCGGTGCAACAAACGCACCCCCCCCTCCTCCTCGCCCCTCCCCCCTCCTCCTCGCCCCTCCCCCCTCCTCCTCGCCCCTCCTCCTCGCCCCTCCTCCTCGCCCCTCCCCCCTCCTCCTCGCCCCACCCCCTCCTCCACTCCGACTCCTCCAACAGCGACGTTGGGCAGCGAACCCGCGGCGCGAGCAGCACTCGGGGCCGCGTTCCTTGAGTGGGTGGGGCCCGCGTGGCGCTGGCCAATCACAAGGCCCACGTCGTTGAGTCTCTGCGTGTTCGTGTCTGTGTGTGTGTGTCTGTGTGTGTGTCTGTGTGTGGGGGGGAGCGGTAGTGTAGCGGTGAGCGCGCTATGAACCTGGCGACCCGGGGTTCGATTCCCGCTCACGGCCAACACCGGGTGACGATTATCTGAACCGGTCCTGGGCCTCCCCTAGGTCGTCTCAGCCTCAAATGAATACCCGGTGCGGTGTGTAAACATCGCCACTGGGGAGACAAAGGCGGCCGGGCGTGGTGTTGGCCACCCACCCCCTCGTGTGCCGTGCCGGCCTTCATAGGTGCTCGCTAACAGCACTTTCCCCTACAGTATGTTAAGGCTATACGGGGGATGTTTTTCTTTGTAATTGTATTGTGTGTGTGTGGTTGTGTTCTGAGTGTTTGTGTGTTTGTCTTCGTGGTTGTGTTGTGAGTGTGTGTATGTGCTTGTGGTGTGTGTGTGTGATTGTGTTGTGAGTGTTTGTGCGTTTGTCCTTGTGGTTGTATTGTGAGTGTTTGTGTGTGGTTGTGTAGCGAATGTAGGTTTGCGTTTTCGTGTTGGTTGTGTATCAGCCTGGAAATGCTGTGCCAGTTGATGTAGGATCTGGGTCCGAGGTGACGAGATATGATGATGAGAGATATGGATATGTGTCAGTACAGCAATGGACGCTTCAATCCATCTGTGCGGAGCTTTGAGTGTGTTACCCTCCTCGAAATGCGTGGTGCGTTCTCTCCAGGTGCCCGGCATTCCTCCCTACGCACCACAACCTTAGTTGAGTACAATCAGCCAATCACCCCAGTCCAGAAGCCTCGAGGCTCGCTGCAGCTTTGACAGACACCGGATGTCCACCGTGCCCAGAAATCCCCGAGCCAACACTATCCTCTCGCAACCCCGATACGCGAGATCACGCCACCCCCAATCCTCCCGTGATAATCAATAATTATCAGACCTCTTACAGACGCACGCACTCTCCTACCGCGCGATGTCGCGGCGGGAGCTGCGAGGCCACGTGTGAGTTCCAGGTGAACGGCTCCAGGCACTGAGAAACGATCACTCCCTCTGGCTCCCGATCCAATCACGGATGCGTTTCAATGTCGCCTCCAATGGACTCGCATGACCTTCTCACTAACTCATCACCTCTCATCTCACTCCACTCCCCTCCACGCACTCTCCTACCTCTCCCCTCTCATCTCACTCTACTCAGGGGCGGAGCCAGGATTTTCAGCCCGGGGTGACATTCAACAAATTTTAATTTCAAGAATGATTAGAGAGTCAGGCTGTTGAACTAGACGCCATCGGATGGCGACACACTCTGACAATGCAGTTGCGCGGAGTCCGCCAGACCGAGTGTCGTACACTTATACGCAGAATGTTTCAGATTTTTTATTTTTCATTTTTTTTCGGCGGTGACAATTTTCTACCCTGTCACCCCCCTGGCTCCGCCCCTGACCCTACACCCCACCACGCACTCTCCTACCTCTCCCCTCTCATCTCACTCCACTCCCCTCCACGCTCTCTCCTACCTCTCCCCTCTCATCTCACTCTACTCCCATCCACGCTCTGTCCTACCTCTCCCCTCTCATCTCACTCTACTCCCATCCACGCACTCTGCTGCCTCTCCCCTCTCATCTCACTCCACTCCCCACCACGCACTCTCCTACCTCTCCCCTCTCATCTCACTCTACTCCCCTCCACGCTCTGTCCTGCCTCTCCCCTCTCATCTCACTCCACTCCCCTCCACGCTCTCTCCTACCTCTCCCCTCTCATCTCACTCCACTCCCCTCCACGTCCTCTCCTACCTCTCCCCTCTCATCTCACTCTACTCCCCTCCACGCACTCCCCTGCCTCTCCCGTCTCATGCTCTCCTTCCCGCCCCAAGTTACGAGAGCAAATACTTAGCCTCATTCATAATTCATGAAGGAATATTTAAAATGCAAATTCCAAACAGATTAAGTGGGACGCTGATGTTGTGTTGGGCCAAGTGTTTGTTCGAACTGTGTTTGTTCAATCAATATTTGATTAACTCGGTGCCCCACTTGATCAGACCAACTAGGGGATTCGAGTCCTCGGAGCGCAGCGAGTGAGAGAGTAGCCCCGCGCACAAAGCGAAGAGTCGGGCATTGGGTGCGCCTCGCAGTGACGGCGCTCATCCTCTACCATTGTGCTCACGTCGGCAGTAGCAGTACGTTCAGGAACACGCCTTTGTCAACCCCTGCCACCCACCCCACACACACACACACACATGCACCCTCTGTCTACCCCCACCGCCGTGTCCACCCCCACCCATAGCCCCCACGTCCACCCCACCCGCCCCCCTCCCCGTGTCCACCTAACCCCTAACACCCAGGGGAGGGGGCTCAGGCAGCGGGGAGTGTGGGGGGGGGGGAGGGGGTGGGGGTGGGGGGAAGGGGGTTGGGGGTGGGGGGGAGCTGTGCTCACCGACCGGAAAATGGAGCGGAGAGAATCCGCGACAAACGGCAGCGGATTAAAGAGAATTCATTTGGGGGTGCGGGGGTGGAGGGGTGCGGGGGTGTGGGGGTGTGGGGGTGGGGGGGGGTGGGGGGGGTGCAGGGGTGGGGGGGGGTGGGGGGGATGCAGGGTGGGGGGGTGCAGGGGTGAGGGTCATCCCCCCACCATCCCCCCACCATTCCCCTCCGCCGTGAGCGGCTGAGATGAACAGCCGTGGCGTGAAGACGCTCGACATCTTCAGCCCCGCGTGGCCGCTCCCCACAGTGGCCGTGCTGCTGCTGCTGCTGCCTGCTGGCTGCTGCTGCTGCTGCTGGGGAGCGGTGGCGCAGTGGTTAGCGCGCTCCGCTACGAACCCGGCACAGGCCCCATTTCGATTCCCGCTCACGGCAGCCGCCGACGACCAGCAGGGACGATTATCCGAACCTCTGAACCGGTCCTGGGCATCGCCCCTATGGTCGACTCAGCCTCAAATGAGTGCACATGGGGCGGTGCGTGAACATCGTCGCTGGGGAGACGAAGGCGGCCGGGCGTGTTTTTATTATTATTTAGAATGTGGCGCACAGCGGGGCGGTGGCGAAGTGCGCTGTGAACTCCGGTCACCTGAGTTCGATACCCTTCGACGGCTATTATCAGTGGCTTAGTGACTTTTTAAGAACCGGCCCTGACAGCCCCCCACCCATGTCCGTGACACCACTGGCGAGAGCCAACAACCACAACAACAACCACAACAACAACCACAACAACAACCACAACAACCACACGGTGATGGTTGTATTTGATGATGATGCATTTGTCAGTGAATGCGAAATTCATGATGATGCTGCTGATGATGCTGTCACTGCTGATGATGATGCTGCTGATGATAATCATCATGTATTTTATAGTGATTGTGTGTTTAATGATTATGTATTTGAAAGCAATGATGCTTCTGCTGCTGCTTCTGCTGCTGATGATGGTGATGCTGCTAATGATGATGCTGTTGATGCTGCTGATGATGCTGATGATGGTGATGCTGCTAATGATGATGCTGCTGCTGCTGATGGTGATGCTATTTCTGATGCTGCTTATGATGGTGATGTTGCTAATGATGATGCTGCTTCTGATGCTGCTGCTGCTACTGATGGTACTGATGATGCTGCTGCTGCTGATGATGATACTGATGATGCTGATGCTGCTGTGTAGATGGGGAGGGAGAGGCCGAGGCTGTTTACGTGCGCGTGGTGATGCCACCGCGGAACGCGAGCGCCGGGGCGTCAGCCGCGAACGAGCCGACGTTCGAGTGCGTGGCCGACGGCAGGTAAAATACGTCGTCATCATCAGCAGCAGCAGCCGCAGCAGTATCATCAGCTGGAGCAGTTGCATCAGCATCGGCAGAATCACTATCGTCGTCATCATCGCCGGCGTCGTCATCAGTAGGAGCAGCAGCGGAAACACGATCATCATCGTCGTCGTCATTATCGTCGTCATCATCATTGTCGTCGTCATCAGTATCATCGTCGTCGTCATCATCATCGTGGTCATCGGGTATAGGAATAGGTTTTACCCTTTTAACTGGCACAAAAACTGACACCTTTATTCAAGGCATCATGTTTGCAATATAACCACAACACAAGCAGTCAAAATGCAAATTAAAAAGACAACTCTGATAATAATATGCACTGTCCTTGAATTAGATTGGTCCACACCCGAGACAGCTTTTCTTAGAGCCTCGTCTCCATTGGTGTTGGACCAGAAGACGCCAAAAGGCGTACAACTCTAAAACAGCGCACTATCAGAGTATTGAGGGCTCGGGGTGAGCATTTACATTATGAGACCTCCTTTGCCAGTAACAAGAAATAGGAATAGGTTTTACCCTTTTAACTGGCACACAAACTGACACCTTTATTCAAGGCATCATGTTTGCAATAACCACAACACAAGCAGTCAAAATGCAAACAAAAAAAGACAACTCTAATAATAATATCGTGGTCATCATCATCGTCGTCGTCATCATCGTCGTCATTATCGTCATCGTCGTCGTCGTCATCATCATCATCGTCGTCATCATCGCCCGCGTTAAGATTATCAGCAGCGGCATTGTCATCAGTGGCGAATGATAATTCATCTGAACCGGTCTTGCTGCCTCCCCTAGGTCTATTCAACCGTAAATGAGTACAGCACCCTGGTGCGCGCGTGTCAAGACCGCCACTGGGGAGACAAAGGCGGCCGGCCACCCAAACTCTTCGTGTGCCGTGCCGGCCTTCACAGAGCGTGCTCGCTAACAGCACTTGCCCCTCATAGTCTCTTAAAGCCTACAGGGGGTATCTTTGTCTTTGGTGGCGGTGGTTGTTTGACGCCGTGGGTAGCGGCAGTGCAGCGGTGAGCGGCCCTGCACGAGCAAACCCGGCGACCCGAGTTCGATCCCCGCTCGTGGCCAACACCAGTGACGATTATAATCTGGACCGGTCCTGCGCCGCCCCCCTAGGTCGACTCGGCCTCAATTGGGTACCGAGTGCGATGTGTATACAACAACAAAAAAACATCGCCGCTGGGGAGGCAAAGGCGGCGGCCACCCCACCCTCTTCGTGTAGGGGTGGTCATACAGGACGCTCGTGATCAACACTTACCCCTACAGTCTGTTAAATCCTACACGGTGGATCTTTGTCTTTGGTGGCTGGTGGTGGCTGGTGGTGGTGCGAGTCCGTGAGTCCAATAGCCGTTGTCTCTCTGCGTTGCCCACGTGTCGCAGGCCGGTGGACAAGGTGAGCGTGACGTGGCGCGTGAACGGTGTCCCCGTCTCCGCCGGGGTCACGGACTTCGGACGCCGCCTCTCGCTGTCGCCCCCCGCCGCCTCACCCCCTTGGGCCGGGGCGCGCGGGGGCGACGCGGCACGGGTGGAGTGCGAGGCGTCACTCATCGGGGTGGACGTGCCGCCGGTGTCGCGAAGCGCGTACTTCACCCTCCTGGGTACGCGGGGGCACGTGGAGACACAGGGGCACGTGGAGACAGGGCACGTGGAGACACAGGGGCACGTGGAGAGACAGGGCACGTGGAGACAGGGCACGTGGAGACAGGGGACGTGGAGACAGGGGCACGTGGAGACAGGGCACGTGGAGACAGGGCACGTGGAGAGACAGGGGACGTGGAGACAGGGGACGTGGAGAGACAGGGGACGTGGAGACAGGGCACGTGGAGACGGGAGCACGTGGAGACAGGGGCACGTGGAGACGGGAGCACGTGGAGACGGGAGCACGTGGAGACGGGAGCACGTGGAGACGGGAGCACGTGGAGACAGGGCACGTGGAGACAGGGGACGTGGAGACAGGGCACGTGGAGACAGGGGACGTGGAGAGACAGGGGACGTGGAGACAGGGCACGTGGAGACGGGAGCACGTGGAGACAGGGCACGTGGAGACAGGGGACGTGGAGACAGGGCACGTGGAGACAGGGGACGTGGAGACAAGGCACGTGGAGACAGGGCACGTGGAGACAGGGCACGTGGAGACAGGGGCACGTGGAGACAGGGCACGTAGAGACAGGGCACGTGGAGACAGGGGATGCGGAGATGTGGGAGGCGGCGAGATGGGTGGGGGATGGCACAGGCGCAGAGAGACAGAGACGCCGGGACACGCACAAAGACACGAGAGAACAGACAGAGAGACACAAACTTCAATGACAAATATTCCCCCGTATAGCCTGTAACAGACTATTGGGGCGAGTGCTGTTCTCGAGCACACTCTATGAAGGCCGGCACGGCGCACGAGGAGGTGGGTGGCCAACAACACGCGCGGCCGCCTTTGTCTCCCTAGCGGCGATGTTTACACACCTTACCAGTTACTTATTTGAGGCTGAGTCGACCTAGGGGAGGAGACCCATGACCGGTTCAGATAATCGTCCCTGGTGTTGGCCGTGAGCGGGAATCGAACTCGGGTCGCCGGGTTTGTAGCGCAGCGCACTATCCGCTACACCACCGCTCCCTACACCAGAACACAACACACTGACACAACACACTGACACAATACACTGACACAGCACTAACACAACACACTGACACAGCACTGACACAATACACTGACACAATACACTGACACAGCACTGACACAACACACTAACACGGGACTGACACAACACACTGACACAACACACTGACACAACACTGACACAGCACTGACACAGCACTGACACAACACACTGACACAGCACTGACACAGCACTGATACAGCACTGACACAGCACTGACACAACACACTGACACAGCACTGACACAGCACACTGACACAGAACTGACACAACGCACTGACACAACACACTGACACAACACACTGACACAGCACACTGACACAACACACTGACACAGCACTGACACAGCACTGACACAACACACTGACACAGCACTGACACAACACACTGACACAGCACTGACACAGCACTGACACAACACACTGACACAGCACTGACACAGCACTGACACAACACACTGACACAACACTGACACAACACACTGACACAGCACTGACACAACACACTGACACAACACACTGACACAGCACTGACACAACACACTGACACAGAACTGACACATCACTGACACAACACACTGACACAGCACTGACACAACACACTGACACAACACTGACACAACACACTGACACAGCACTGACACAACACACTGACACAGCACTGACACAACACACTGACACAACACACTGACACAGAACTGACACAGCACTGACACAACACACTGACACAGCACTGACACAGCACTGACACAACACACTGACACAACACACTGACACAACACTGACACAACACACTGACACAGCACTGACACAACACACTGACACAGCACTGACACAACACACTGACACAACACACTGACACAGAACTGACACAGCACTGACACAACACACTGACACAGCACTGACACAACACACTGACACAGCACTGACACAACACTGACACAACACACTGACACAACACTGACACAGCACTGACACAACACACTGACACAGCACTGACACAACACACTGACACAGCACTGACACAACACACTGACACAGCACTGACACAACACACTGACACAACACACTGACACAGCACTGACACAACACACTGACACAGCACTGACACATCACTGACACAACACACTGACACAGCACTGACACAGCACTGACACACAACTGACACAACACTGACACAGCACTGACACAGCACTGACACAACACTGACACAGCACTGACACAGCACTGACACAGCACACTGACACAGCACTGACACGTGTAAACTGACTACCCCCGCCCCCCTCTCCACAGAGTCCCCCCACTTCATCGTGGAGCTGGAGCGGAGCATTGTGGGTACGGTGGACCAGACGATCGAGATCCCGTGCCGCGCGACCGGTGCGTCTGGGGGGGGTCACGGTTAGGGTCACGGGTCAGAGTCTGGGTCGGGCTTAGGGATGGTGGATTAAGGTTGGGCTTAGCGATGTGTGTGGGGGTGTCTATGTGTGTGTGTTTGCTGAGTCTTAATTAAATCAATCACGGCATCTGCAGGGGATAACACTTCCCCTGCCCCGCTAATCCCCCCACCGCCTTGCCCACCCTACGCAAACTGCACCTCGGAGTCAAGGCCGCCGGGTTAAACTCGGAGCCAGGTGCCCGGGTCAGTGACCGCGGCAAGGGGGTTGTGCAAATGCTGAGACGACTCAAGGCGAACGCGGGGGGTCAAGGGGAGCAGCAACAGCACGCGCGTGATCACCACGTGTGATGCTCGCGCCGCGTGTACACGCCGCGACACGTGTACACGCAGCGACACGTGTGCACGTGTACAAGCCACGACACGTGTGCACGTGTACAAGCCACGACACGTGTACAAGCCACGACACGTGTATACGTGTACAAGCCACGACACGTGTACACGTGTTCTCCGTGTACAAGCCACGACACGTGTACACGTGTACAAGCCACGACACGTGTGCACGTGTACAAGCCACGACACGTGTTCTCCGTGTACAAGCCACGACACGTGTACACGTGTACACGTGTGTACACGTGTACACGCCGCGACACGTGTACAAGCCATGACACGTGTACACGCGTACAAGCCACGACACGTGCACGCGCCCTGACACGTGTACACGCTATAGGAGATGTTAACCCCAACCCGTCTCACCGTGCACGTTGCGCGGGAGCGGTAATGCAGTGAACCAAACCGGGCCACCCGAGTTCGATTCCCGCTCACGGCCAACACCAGGGACGGTTATCTGAACCGGCCTTGAGCCTCCCCTAGGTCGACTCAGCCTCGAACGAGTACCTGGTGCCGCGCGCAAGCGTCGCTAATGGGGAAGACAAAGGCGGCCGTGTGATGCGTCGTTCTTCCTCAACAATGTGCTCAGCCAACGGCGCTTAGCCCCCAAAAGGCCGTTTCACCCTACGCGGCGCGGTGTGTGGGGGGGTGTCTTTGTGGCAGCGGGCGTTCGACACTTCACGTGGCCTCAAGGTGCACATGGCCTGGCACACGCGTCGTGGTGACGTCACCTCCCCTTAGTGGCCGGTCGTTGTTGTTGTCTCTGTGATGCAGGCTGGCCCCGCCCCTCGCTCTCGTGGTACCGCGACGCGGTGCCCGTGCGGCAGCTGCAGGAGGGCCGTCTGCGCGTGCTGCCCGGGGGCGCCCTGCAAGTGTCGCGTCCTCGCGAGCGCGACTCGGCCGTCTATCAGTGCGTGGCGCGCAGCGCCGCTGGGGAGGCGCAGAGCCACGCGCACGTCAGCGTGCTGAGTGAGCGCTCGCTACTCCTCATCCCCGTGGCTCGCTCCTCTTCCTCCACCACCACCACCTCCTCCTCCTCCTCTTCTACCCCCGTCCGCCCCGCCCCGCCCGCCCGCCGCCCCCTCATCCACCGTGTCTCGCTGCTCCACAACGTCCTCGTGTATCTCCCTCCTCCTCGTCCCCGTGTCTCTCTCCTCCTCCACCTCCTCCTCGTGTCTCTCCCTCCTCCTCATCCCCGTGATGACAACCGACAGACCGTGCGTAGGAGCATCACCCCGGTAGAGTCTTGTCAGCAATCCTGGTTTTGAATGCGCCAGTATTTGTGTCTTGCGATAGTGTCCCTTGACGTCCGAGCTTAATTAAACTCAACTTTGTTTTTGTATTTCACCAGGTAAGGCCCCACTGAGCTACATTGCTCTTTTCAGAAGCGGCCTGGCCACAAATGATGACCCAACGAAGCGACTCATCATCATCGTGCGGAAATTTACAGCAGCCAAATACTCTAAACGCGTGTTCATTGTAAATGTGGAGGGGAAAACCAGAGTGCCCGGAGAAAAATCCACGCCACCACGGGGAGAGAAAGAGAGAGAGACACGCAAACTCCAAATATACTGGAGGCGTCAGGGTAGGGATCTAACCGACTACCTCCTGTATACCAGGCGACGTCGTTAACATTAAAAATGTCTGGGCCCCCCGCTCCTCTCCCCCCCCCCCCCCCACTCTAACCCCCCCCACTCTAAACCCCCCCACTCTAACCCCCCCACTCTAACCCCCCCCACTCTAACCCCCCAACCCCCCCACTCTAACCCCCCCCCCCCACTCTAACCCCCCGAACCCCCCCCCACTCTAACCCCCCCCACTCTAACCCCCCAACCCCCCTCCCCCACTCTAACCCCCCCCCCACTCTAACCCCCCAACCCCCCCTCCCCCACTCTAACCCCCCCCACTCTAACCCCCCCACTTTAACCCCCACAACCCCCCCCCACTCTAACCCCCCCACTCTAACCCCCCCAACCCCCCTCCCCCACTCTAACCCCCCCACTCTAACCCCCCAACCCCGCCTCCCCCACTCTAACCCCCCCCCACTCTAACCCCCCCACACTCTAACCCCCCAACTCCCCCCAACTCTAATCCCCCCACTCTAACCCCCCAACCCCCCCCCACTCATAACCCCCCCCACTCTAACCCCCCGAACCCCCCCCCACTCTAACCCCCCAAACCCCCCCCCACTCTAACCCCCCCCACTCTAACCCCCCAACCCCCCCCCCCACTCTACCCCCCCCCACTCTAACCCCCCCAACCCCCCCCCCACTCTAACCCCCCCAACCCCCCTCCCCCACTCTAACCCCCTCCCACTCTAACTCCCCCAACCCCCCTCCCCCACTCTAACCCCCCCCCACTCTAACCCCCCAACCCCCCCTCCCCACTCTAACCCCCCCACTCTAACCCCCCCCCACTCTAACCCCCCCAACCCCCTTCCCCCACTCTAACCCCCCCACTCTAACCCCCAACCCCCCCTCCCCACTCTAACCCCCCCACTCTAACCCCCCCCCACTCTAACCCCCCCAACCCCCCCCACTCTAACCCCCCCAACCCCCCCTCCCCCACTCTAACCCCCCCACTCTAACCCCCCCCCACTCTAACCCCCCAACCCCCCCCAACTCTAACCCCCCCACTCTAACCCCCCAAACCCCCCCCACTCTAACCCCCCCCCCACTCTAACCCCCCCCACTCTAACCCCCTCCCCCACTCTAACCACCCCCACTCTAACCCCCAACCCCCCCCCACTCTAACCCCCCCCCACTCTAACCCCCCCCCCACTCTAACCCCCCCAACCCCCCCCACTCTAACCCCCCCAACCCCCCTCCCCCACTCTAACCCCCCCACTCTAACCCCCCCCCACTCTAACCCCCCAACCCCCCCCAACTCTAACCCCCCCCACTCTAACCCCCCAAACCCCCCCCACTCTAACCCCCCCCCCACTCTAACCCCCCCCCACTCTAACCCACCCCCCCCAACTCTAACCACCCCCACTCTAACCCCCCAACCCCCCCCCACTCTAACCCCCCCCACTCTAACCCCCCGAACCCCCCCCCACTCTAACCCCCCCAAACCCCCCCCCACTCTAACCCCCCCCACTCTAACCCCCCAACCCCCCCCCCCACTCTACCCCCCCCCCCCACTCTAACCCCCCCAACCCCCCCCCACTCTAACCCCCCCAACCCCCCTCCCCCACTCTAACCCCCTCCCACTCTAACTCCCCCAACCCCCCTCCCCCACTCTAACCCCCCCACTCTAACCCCCCCACTCTAACCCCCCCACTCTAACCCCCCCACTCTAACCCCCCCACTCTAACCCCCCCACTCTAACCCCCCCACTCTAACCCCCCCAACCCCCCCCCCACTCTAACCCCCCACCCCCTCCCCCCCCCACTCTAACCCCCCCAACCCCCGCCCCTTCCCAGGCTTCCCGCCCAACATCACGCGGGGCCCCGTGGAGGGGGTCCTGGTGGAAGGGGACACCGTGGTGATCCCCTGCGACGTGCAAGGCGCCCCCAGACCCACGCTCACGTGGCTGAAAGGTGAGAAAGCCCGGGACAGCAGCTGAGTTCGATTCCCGGGACACGGCTTAGGTCAGCGGCGAGTGAATGATCTCAACCAGTTCAGCCGCCTCTCCGAAGTCGGCGCAACCTTAAATGAGGACCTCGTGCGCCACTGAGGAGACAAAGGCGGTCGAGCATGGTGCTAGCCACCCACCCCCAGGTGTTCACTGACAGTACTTGCCCCAAAAGACTGCTAAGGCTATACGGGGGATCTTTTGTGTGTGAACGTGTGTGTGTGTGTGTGAACGTGTGTGTGTGTGTTTAGGTGGTGGGGAGCGGTAGTGGAGTTCGATTCCTGCTCCAGGCCAACACCAGTGACGATTATCTGGCTTCCCCCTAGGTCGACTCAGCCTCAAATGAGTACCTTGTGCGGATGAGTAAAACATCGCGACTAGGGAGACAAAAGCGGCCAGGAGTGGTTCTGGCCACTCACCCCCTCGTGTGCCGTGCCGGCCTCCATAGGTGCTCGCTTAGCAGCACTTGCCCCGACAGCCCGTGAAGGCTACACGGGGGATCTTTGTCCGTTGTGTTGACGTGTTTCTCGTGGGAGGTGGTGGAGCAGTGGTTAGCAAACTGCCAGCGGGTTCAGCGAGTGGAGTGAGTGAGGTGGGTGGCTGTTTGTATCGCTCTGAGCGAGTGAGCGACACGATAAGTGGTTGGGCGAATAAGTTAGGGTGAGGGGTGAGTGGGTTGGTGAATGAGTCATTGCATGGGTGAGCGAGCGGTGACGAGTTTGTGTCAGTGTGAGTGAATGGGCACGTATGGGGGGGGAGTGAGTTGGTGATTGAGTGAGTGGGTGCGTAGGGGAGTGGGTCACTGGGTGTGTCAGTGCCAGGTGAGTGGGCGAGTGAGTTGTTGGTGATTGAGTGCGTGGTTGTGTGGTTGTCTGGGTAAGTGGGCGAGTGGGTGACTGCGTGTGTGTGTCACACACACACACGTGCATTATGGGGAACGGTAGTACAGCGGTTCGACACACTGCTGTTGCGACTCCCGCTCACGACCGATAAGAGCGGCGAATATTTAAACCGGTTCTTGGGTCCTCACCTGAGTCGACACGCCGCCGCCTCGTGCCGTCCTGCGAAGGTGCTCGCTAAACATCGCACTTTGGCACCCGAAAATATTTCGAAAGCTACACGGGGGTGGGGGGTGGGAACTGTCCCCTTTGTCTCTGTACGCATTTGGCGATCCACGAGGGAATGCGCTGACGCGGCATTGTGGGTTCGCGTTGGGTTCTTCGCGAAATGATTCATTTGCTAACGACCGGTGCTAAACGACATTTGTCGAGTCGCGCGTGCCGGTGAGTGTGCGTGTGTGTGTGTGTTCCGCTTGCGGGGTCATGTGGCCCGCATGCCCAGCCACCGCGTGCCTAAACAGCTTTTGTTCGGCCGGTTAGAGGGCGGATAAACGGGCGCGGCACAGGCTAGAGAAGAGATGGAGTGATGTGGTACAGGAGGACGTGGAGCTGAGTGGACTTGCCGATGACTGGTACCAGCGGTGTCAAGATCGGCCTCAGTGAAGGAGGCTCGTGAAGGACGCTGCTACTGGGCAGTTGGAGGGAGTCGCCCTCCAACAACAACGGAGGGCGGAGGAGCGACGCTCACAACAACGAGCGGAGCGCCGGGCGACTAAAACACAGCAAGTTGGCACAGTCGGGGGCACAGGTGGTGCATCGGCCATCAGTCATCTCAGTCAGTCGACCCGTGGCACCTACTGGGTCTGCCCCGTGACCTCCTGCCAGCGGGCCTTCGACACTTCACGTGGCCCTAATGTGTACCTAGCCTGGCCCAGGTGCCGTGGTGACGTCTGTTTGTTGTTTATTTGGATGGCGGAGTGTACCGGGGAGTGGTGGCGCAGTGGTTAGCGCACTGCGCTGCCACCAGGCGACCTCCCCAATTCGATTGGCGCTCAGGACCCACGGCAGTGGGCGAATATGGAACTCGCTCACAGGCCTCGCCTAGGTCGACTCAGCCGTTAATGAGGATCTCGTGTGGTGGGCAAACATCGGAGTCAGACCACGTGCTCGCGCTGGAGGAAACCGATGACATGTGCAGCGCTCTTTCACAGATGTCCAGTAGGGGGGTGGGGGGGGGCACGGGGTCAGAACGTTACAGCACTGGGGAGACAAAGGCGGCCGGGCGTGATGTCGGTCACCCACCACTTCGTAGGCGCTCGCTTAATGGCACTTGCCCCAACAGTCTGTTGAAGGCTTTACGGGGATACGTGGGGGGGGGGGGGGGTCTTTACCTTTGCTGCATTTCCAAGACGCCACGAGAGTGCAACAGGTGGCACCTCCCTTCGCCCCCCCGCTCATTGTTTCCCACGAACCCCCACCGCGTTGTTTACCCCCAGTATCGCCCCCCCCTCCGCACTGCCCCCCCCCCTCCCACCATCACCACCCCTCCCGCATTGTGTTGCTATGTATTTATGCAAAGCGCGTTAATGTGCATTTAATTAAAACTAATCATTGTAATAATTTTAATTCAATGTTTGCTTCCGCAATTTAATTACTCACACTCGTAATTAGACACAGCGGTAGTTCCCGCTGCCACCATCACAACCATCATCACCATCAGCGTCATCATCATCATCGCCATCGTCATCATCACCGTCACCGCCATTGTCATCACCGCTATCATCATCACCATCGTCGCCATCACCACCACCATCATCACCATCATCACCACCGTGATGGTAGCGGTGGTGCAACGGTAAGCGAGTTGCCCTCCGAACCCGGCGTCCCGAGCTCGATTTCCGCTTACGGCCTACACCGGTGATACTCACACCGCACCGCGTACTCAAACGCGCACCTGGTGCGGTGTGCAAACATCGCCACTGGGGAGACAAAGGCGGTCGGGCGATGCGCCAGCCACCCACATTTTTGTGCGTGCCGTGCCGGCCTTCGTAGGTGCTACTCGCTAACAGCACTTGCCCCAACAGTCTGTTGAGGCTGCAGGGGCATTGGGGGGAATCTTTGCCTTTGTAATGTGGCGCTGCACGTGGCGATGACGCGTCGTCATGACGCGTCGTCATCGCCACGCGTCACGCGCCGTATGTATCCACTCACTGCTTACGTGGCATCTCTATAATAGCTGTGTGTCATGTGCACCATTACACCCCCCTCCCCCACTTCCCTCACCGCGATGTGAGTGAATTTGCTCGGATGAAGTGATCGTCTCTCGCTTCATCCGCGGTCTCCTGGGACTCGCAGACTGGAGGGAAGGAGGAGAGGGAGGGGGGTAGGGGGGGAGTGAACACCCCCTCCTTGACCCCCCGTCAGGGGTGTCGAGGCGTCAAGTCGGCATCCCCACGGACCCCCCCCCACCCTCACAATTCTTTAGCCCCCCCCCTCCTCCTCCACGCCCAGCATCACGAAGGCGATTGATGGAGATGGATGTGAGCCCTGGGCAATTGCCCTGCGTTGATTCTCCACCCGGGCGCCTCGAGACCTCAACGAGATTATTCTGTGATAAATAAACCGACGGGAGGGCAGTGTGGGGATGAAGAGGGGAAATCGGGGGGTGGGGGGGGCAGCAGTTAGCGCGACGCGCTGAGAACCTGGCGACCTGAGTTCCATTCGCGACCACCACCACCGCGTAAGCACCGCTCCCTACCAGCCCGCAAAAACTCGAAGCCCCACCCCCCCTCCTCCTCCTCCTCCCGGTGGCGGTGACCAGCGTGGTGAAGTATGATCAAATAAGCCCCCCCCTCCCCCACGAGACGCCTCCATCCAGCGGCCGGTTGAGCAAAAGGTCGTTAACTACTCGCGGTCCGTTCCAATCTCGCGTTAGACGGAGACAGGAAGGGGCGGGAGGAGATGGGGGATGACATTTGAGGCGCTAAGCGGAGATAGGAGAAGACATGAGTGTGTATAGGAGGAGACACGGCGAGCCGGGGGAAGACGTGGAGAGAGAGGAGACAGGATGAGACACGGAGAGACACGTGGAGACACGAGGAGCCAGGGGAAGGTGTGGAGAGAGAGGAGACACGTGGAGACACGTGGAGACACGAGGAGCCAGGGGAAGTTGTGGAGAGAGAGGAGACACGTGGAGACACGTGGATACACGAGGAGCCAGGGGAAGTTGTGGAGAGAGAGGAGACACGGAGAGACACGTGGAGACACGAGGAGCCAGGGGAAGTTGTGGAGAGAGAGGAGACACGGAGAGACACGAGGAGACACGAGGAGCCAGGGGAAGTTGTGGAGAGAGGAGACACGGAGAGACACGAGGAGACACGAGGAGCCAGGGGAAGTTGTGGAGAGAGAGGAGACACGGAGAGACACGTGGAGACACGAGGAGCCAGGGGAAGTTGTGGAGAGAGAGGAGACACGTGGAGACACGTGGAGACACGAGGAGCCAGGGGAAGTTGTGGAGAGAGAGGAGACACGGAGAGACACGAGGAGACACGAGGAGCCATGGGAAGTTGTGGAGAGAGAGGAGACACGTGGAGACACGTGGAGACACGAGGAGCCATGGGAAGTTGTGGAGAGAGAGGAGACACGGAGAGACACGAGGAGACACGAGGAGCCATGGGAAGTTGTGGAGAGAGAGGAGACACGGAGAGACACGAGGAGACACGAGGAGCCAGGGGAAGTTGTGGAGAGAGAGGAGGCACGTGGAGACACGTGGAGACACGAGGAGCCAGGGGAAGTTGTGGAGAGAGAGGAGACACGGAGAGACACGTGGAGACACGAGGAGCCAGGGGAAGTTGTGGAGAGAGAGGAGACACGGAGAGACACGTGGAGACACGAGGAGCCAGGGGAAGTTGTGGAGAGAGAGGAGACACGTGGAGACACGTGGAGACACGAGGAGCCAGGGGAAGTTGTGGAGAGAGAGGAGACACGGAGAGACACGTGGAGACACGAGGAACCAGGGGAAGTTGTGGAGAGAGAGGAGACACGGAGAGACACGTGGAGACACGAGGAGCCAGGGGAAGTTGTGGAGAGAGAGGAGACACGTGGAGACACGTGGAGACACGTGGAGACACGAGGAGCCAGGGGAAGGTGTGGAGAGGCAGGAGGAGAGAGGCGGAGATCACTGAGCAAGTGAATTTCGTTTGCGCGGCACGAGAGGGGTGGGAGCGTTACACGCGAGACACTCGCTATGGATGCCTCGTGTCTCTGTCTCTCTCTCTGACACGGGGAGAGTGAACTGGCACACTGTCTCTTGCCTCGACACATTCCTCTGACTCTGGGTGGACGTGGCGAGGGAGGGAGGGGTATTAAATACAAATGAGCGGATGTTCGCTCTTGGAGAACCCAGAATCAGAATCTTGATTGATCCTGCAGGAATCCGATGAGCTGTGAAGCTCTTTTTCCGCAGACGTCCAGTAGGGACGGGTCAACACGTTACGACGACAAACAATGCCGCGGCAGCACAACGATAAGAGTGCGAAACAGAGAAAAGGTAAGAAAGTCGCTGCGAATACATAACGTAAGAATAACACAAGAACATACATTCCTGCAGATTTGTCGACACTAAATGGAAGCTTGGACGAGGCAGAAAAACAACAACAACAACAACAACGACAACAACAACAACCGTTACAGACCAAAACAAGAATCACCCGGGCCTAGTGCTGACCCTCCACGTCGGCGGGGCTTGGACGGCATAGACCACGTGGGCACGCGGGGACTCAGGGTCACGCCGAAGAGCACGCGCGCCTTGAACGAGAGCCACGCTCTAGCGAGAGGAGCCACACTCCTGTGAGAGCCACACTCCTGGGAGAGGAGCCACGCTCCTGTCAGAGGAGCCACACTCGTGAGAGCCACACTCCTGTGAGAGCCACACTCTTGTGAGAGGAGACACACTCCAGGGAGAGGAGCCACACTCCTGTGAGAGCCACACTCTTGTGAGAGGAGACACACTCCAGGGAGAGGAGCCACACTCCAGGGAGAGGAGCCACACTCCTGTGAGAGGAGACACACTCCTGTGAGAGGAGACACACTCCTGGGAGAGGAGACACACTCGTGAGAGCCACACTCCTGTGAGAGGAGACACACTCCTGTGAGAGGAGACACACTCCTGGGAGAGGAGACACACTCCTGGGAGAGGAGCCACACTCCAGGGAGAGGAGCCACACTCCTGTGAGAGCCACACTCCTGTGAGAGGAGCCACACTCCTGGGAGAGGAGCCACACTCCAGGGAGAGGAGACACACTCCAGGGAGAGGAGACACACTCCTGTGAGAGGAGACACACTCCTGTGAGAGGAGACACACTCCTGGGAGAGGAGACACACTCCAGGGAGAGGAGACACACTCCAGGGAGAGGAGACACACTCCTGTGAGAGGAGACACACTCCAGGGAGAGGAGACACACTCCAGGGAGAGCCACACTCCTGGGAGAGGAGCCACACTCCAGGGAGAGGAGACACACTCCCTGCGTGGAACCACACTCTAATAATGCGCGTAACGCACGAGAACACGTGATTAATAACCGCATTAATGGGACTTATACACCTGACACCGGGTTCGAGGGGGGGGGGCAACCCCCCTCCCCACCTCGCCCCGAGGGGATTGAGGTGTGGGGGAGGGTAGCGATGGAGGCGGTGGAGGGAAGGGAACGAGTTGTGAGACTCAGAGGATGCCGGGTGACATTTGTCTAGATTCATGCTCGCGGAGCGCAACGAGCGGTTCGTGTTTTTTTTTTTCTTGGGAGCGAGCGAGCGAGCGAGCCAGCGAAGCGCCCGTGCGTTAATGAGCGACAAACGGAACTCGCCGGACGCGAATGAATAATAATTTTAAAAAAAAATGGTAATAATTGTTTTAAAAAATAAAATGTATTTTATATAAATCAGCCGGCAGGCGTGAGTTCCCACGAGCGGCGGGGCCTTTGTGCCACGGAGCGATTTGTTAAAGAATACAATCCGTGACGCGGCCGTGAGGATGACTCCCATCTGCTACCCCCTCCCCACTCCCCCCCCCCACCCACACAACATGAAAGTGATTTGTTACCGCCCGTTGCTTGATTTCAGCTGGATCGGGAATTGCATCCACCTCGCCAGGATGTTGGTCCGCCCTGACGCCGTGATGAGACTGCATCCAATACGTGTAGCCCTGTTCATGGCGTTAGGGCGATGTACAGGATGGGATGCAATCGTGTCAGGGACCTTTGCGCGAATGAAACAAAGCTCCGTCCCCGTACAGATAGAAACAGATGGAGATGAGTCCCTTTGCTTTGCTGTCTTCTCCCGGCGAGCCTGGGGAGTATCACAACAGCGCGGTGATCCACCAACCCCTTCACCGCCGCCTCCACAGCGCTGGTAGCGCGTTTGTCAAATTGTTGCAGACGTTCGCGGTTCCAATCCGGCATCCCGCCCTGGTTAATGATGACAATACTGCTGTGCGCCCTCTGTTTCACACTGAAGGTTAAACATCCCCTGCAGATATTCAAATCGAATCAGCTGTTACGTGCCGACACCATTGGCTTCCGGTTTGCCGAACGGATACGTTATGAGGTCGCACTCGTTACACACAGAGTGCTTGCTACAAACGAACCACAATTCCTCGCTGATCTCGTCAGGGAGCTTAAAGCACCGTCACGCGAACTCCGGGTCATCCTCGAACAAAGGCGGTGGTCACCGCATCGCGCGGCGCTTTCAGACGCGCTTCTGCGGCCGTCTGGAACGCTCTTCCCTTCCGATGTTTGGAAGCCACTGGAGCTACGCACTTTTAACTCATCATCATGGTCTAGATTGACAAACTCATTTCTTTAGAACTGCTGTTTGTGTTTAGTTTGTTGTCCTTCCGCGCACCTGTGATTAGAGCGGTTGGCTACGTACGGTGTGAAAGAAGTTCAACGTACATATTTTTTTAATTACACCCCCCCTCTCCCCCATGTATGTAGACCAGGTGTTGAGTCACCTTGTGCCGCACGGGGGACAGCTGGCCCTGGGGGTGCCCATTCAAAAGTATTGATACGTGATGCGCGTGTGTCACGTGCTATAAGGGAGGGTCTTTATATGTGTGTGTGTGTGTATCATGGGTAGCGGTCGTGTAGCGGTTAGCGCTAGGAACCTGGCGACCCGAGTTCGATTCCCACTCACAGCCAACACTTAGTGACTATTATCAGAACCGGTCCTGGGCCTCCCCTAGATCGACTCAGCCTCAACATCGCCACTGGGGAGACAAAGGCGGTCGGGCGTGGTTGCTGGCCATCCACTCCCTCGTGTACCGTATCGGCCTTCATAGGTGGTCTCTAACAGCACTTGCCCCCAACAGTCTGTTCAGGCTATACGGGGGATCTTTGTCTTTATCGTGCTCTCCTGGGTCTCACGGAGATCGACTCGGCCTCAAACGAGTGGCGTGTAAACATCAGCGATGGGGAGAGACAAAGGCGGCCGGGCGTGGTGGCAGTTGGCCACCGACCAACCGCCGAGTGTGCCATGTTAGCCTTCGCAAGTGCTCGCTGGCAGCACTTGCCCCCAACACATCTGTTTACAAGGTGGGGGCGAGCTGGGGCACCTTTGTCTTTATCTTTGCGCACAGGGGGAGTGAAGCTCTCGCTGCCCGCGTCCCCTCGCCGCCTCGGCGTGGAAGGGGGGGCCCTGCCCGCCGCCCCCCGGCTCTCGCTGCTGGAGTCTGGGGGGCTCCGCGTGGCGCCCGTGCAGATGCTCGACTCGGGCACGTACGCGTGCCAGGCAAAGAACTACCGCGGGGACGCGACAGCCAGCGCGCGCATCACCGTGTGGGGTGAGGAGCGCCCCCCCCCCACTACCCCCCTGCCTACCCCCCTACGCCCCCAGAACGATCATCACAGTATGGGGTGAGGAGCGCCCCCCCACTACCCCCCTGCCTACCCCCCTACGCCCACCCAGAACGATCATCACCGTATGGGGTGAGGAGCGCCCCCCCCCAGCCTCCCTCCCCTCCGCCCCCCTCCCCCCCACTCCCCTTCCGTCCTCCCTCCCCCCCGCCCGCGTAGACCCCCACCCCCCTTCCAGCGCGCGCATCACCATGTGGGGTGAGGAGCACTCTCCCACTCCCCCCCCTCTCCCTCCCCCCCTCACCCACCCCCCACCCCCGCCACCTCCACCACCACCACCGCGTGAGCACCGCTCCCTACCAGCCCCCAACAAACTGGAAGCCCCCCCCCCCCCCACTCCTCTTCCTCCCGGTGGCGGTGAGCGATGGAGGTTTGCGCCAAGGGTGAGCGCGAGTGGTGAGCGTTGGTGGTGAGGCCTCGTGGTGAGAGATCGAGGCGTGGATGTACAAACGTAAGTAGTCGTGGCAGCGATGTGTTCAGGAGTTCGATGTCGAGGGCTGTTGCTGGCCTCGACGAGAGAGGGGCTCGAGCACAGAGAGAGAGATCTCGTCTCGTTGTGCTATGGCGCGCGTGCACGTGCTGTGGATGCGTGACACAAAGACAAAGATGCCCCGTATAGCCTCAACAGACTGTTGGGGCAAGTGCTGTTTAAGCGCGTGTGTGTGCGTGTTAGCGCGCGTGTGTGCGTGACACACACACGCGCGCTAACACGTGACCGCCCCCCCCCCTTCTCGCCACTGCCCCCCCCCCCCCCCCACAGTGCGCACTCGCATCTCAGACCCCCCGCGCGACAAGAGCGTGGTTCGTGGGGGGCGCGCCGAGCTGCAGTGCGGGGTGACCCACGACCCCGCGGTGATCGTGTTCGTCGCGTGGGAGAAGGATGGAGCCCCCCTGGGGACCGGACTCCCCTCTCCCTCCTCCTCCTCCTCTTCCTCCTCTTCTTCCTCCTCCTCCCTACCCCCGGGGTCGTCGGTGCTCGTCTCGTCGTCATCGTCGTCTGCGGCGTCGTCGTTGACGGGGGGCTCGCTGTGGGGGGCGGCTGTGCCCCCCACGCGCAGAGAGCTCCTCGTGGTGCCCAGGGCCATGGCAGCGGACACAGGGACCTACGCGTGCCGAGTGACGTCCGCGGCCGGCAACGACACGCGGCGAGCCAGGCTAGACGTCAGGTGCAGCGGCGTCATCAGCAGCGTATCCATCATCGTCATCATCATCAGCAGCAGCATCGTCAGCAATAGCATCATCAGCAACATCGACACCATCATCATCAGCAGCAGCAGCTTCGTCATCAGCAGCATCGTCATCAGCAGCAGCAGCATCAGCAGCATCGACATCTCCAGCAGCAGCAGGAACAGCAGCATCATCTAAACAATCATAATCATCAGTAGCAGTATTACTCGTACCAGTAGCATCATCGTTGTCATCAAGGACAGCGTCATCAGCAGCAGCAGCAGCAGCTTCAAGATTGTCATCAGCACCGCAGCACCGCAGCATCAGCAACATCATGTGTGTGTGTATGGAACTTCTTTCTCACCGTACGTAGCCGACCGCGCTCATGGCAGGTGCGGCAGAAGGACAACAAACTAAACCCAAAAAGCAGTTTTAAAGAAGTGAGTTTGTCAATCCAGACGACGATGATGATGATTTAAAAGTGCGTAGCTCCAGTTGCTTCCTAACATCGGAAGGGAAGAGCGTTCCAGCCGACCGCACCATCAACTTCATCATCATCATCGTCAACAGCAGTAGCAAAAACATTATCATTATCATCAAAGGCATCAGCAGCTGTCATCACCATCGTCATCATCATCAGCATGAGTCATCAGCATCGTCATCACCATCGTCATCATCGTCAGCAGCAGTCGTCACAGTCATCACATTCATTTGGGCTGCGTTGCTTCTCGCCCGCCCCCCCCCCCCCCCAGGGAGATGCCGCACCCCCCCCAGAACGTGAGGGCGCGGGTGAGCGCCACCTACAGGAGGGTGGCCGAGGTGTCGTGGGTGCGAAGCTATGACGGCAACAGCGCCCTCGTCGGCTATACCCTGGAGTTCTCCGTGAACGGTCAAGAATGCCCGCGTTCATCATCATCATGTCACCATCGTTATTATCATCATATCGTGATCGTTATTATCATCATATCATGATCATCGTCATATCATAATATCATTTTCATTATTGTCATATTATTATCATATCAACATATCATGATTATCATATCATAATTATCATTACCATATCATCATTATTATCATCATATCATCATTACCACTAACTGGGTTTGTTTACTACTACTATTAGCTATTTTTATTTTACTAGGTAAGGCCCACTGAGCTACGTAGCTATTATTTAGAAGCGACCTGCCCACAAATGATAGCCCAATCAAGTGGCTTATCACGTGGAAATTTAAAGCAGCCAAATACTCTAAACGCATGATGATGATGATTCTGCATGTGGAGGGAAAACCCGGAGGACCCGGAAAAAAATCCACGCGACAACGGAGAGAGAGACACCACAAACTCCAAATATACAGCAGGCTTCAGGGTCGGGATCGAACCGACTACCTCCTGTATACCAAGCGAGATAGTTAACATCTCCCAGCCACCATGGTGATGAGAGAGAGACATGCAAACTACAAATATACAGCGGGCGTCAGGGTCGTGATCGAACCCACACACGACCTCTTGTATACCACACTCTAAAACTCACTCATACACACATAAACTCAAGCACACAATTTGACACTCAAACCCACTCGCACACAACAGGGCGCGAAGCAACTTCTATGCAGAAAGATGCCCGAATCGGGAATCGAACCGGGGTCCCTCTTGCCGGGCGGCACGAGCTGTTGCCACTGTGCTGCCGCCATACTTTTGTTTAATCACTGGCACCAATTAATCTCTAATGGACCGCCGGTTAATCGCTAATTGCCCACTTGATTAACTTATTAGCGTGATTGCTGGAAGACTCTAGTACCACCAGGACACGGTCTGATGGCGCCCCATCGCCCACGAGGCCAGGCCAGATGTTCCACTTTCTGGTGCCACTAGAGGGTTGCAGGAACTGAAGCGGTTTACAATCTGCGTGTGTGCGTGTGTGTGCGTGTGTGCGTGTGTGTGCGTGTGTGCCCAATACCCAGTGAATTATAACGCAGTGATATCCACCCGAAGCGAGCGGCGTTGTCAAATAGTCCACTCGTATTTAGCCCTGCAAATAAATCCGTGGGAATTTTTGTTTAAAAAAAAAAGCTACGCGTTGGTGGTACAGATTTCTGCTCCGGGCCACGTGCGTTGGAGTCGTGTCTTTGTGACGTCACGGTGACATCATAAGGGCACTGTAATGGTGAGCTCGATGGTAACCGTGCTGTATTATTATCGTGTAGGAAGCTTCAAGGGTGCGTCTGACAGGTATGGGCCCCCACGAGGGGGTCTTGCTTGAACCATACTTCACCACGCTGGTCAGTGCGGAGTTGGTCAATAGCGCGGTAGTGGGCCAGTTTGCTCGGCGGTGGAGCGAGCGGCTCGCAAGTGGGAAAGTTGCGAGTTCACATCCGGGGTTCGGGGGGTTGACTCAGCCCATCATCCATCCGGGTGGATAAAAATGAGTACCACTTTCGTGGGAAAGTCAACAGCGGTTGCCTTGTGGATAGATTCACCCCCTCGCCGTTTGAATGTGGACTTTCCACCACCGGCTTTGCAGGGCTGCTAGCTGCTATGAACAGAAAATGAACGCCAATGCTTAATCGGTGCTCATTTGAGCAGGAATTAGGGATCGTTTTGTAGGGTCGTGGCCCAGGATCTGTACAGATATCACTTACCACTAATGTTGTTCGGGTTGTACGTATGCATGTTGGACTTCTTTCACACCGTACGTAGCCAACCGCGCTAATCGGAGGTGCTGGAGAAGGAGAACAAACTAAACACAGCCAGCAGTTCTAAGGAAATGAGTTGTCGATCTAGATGATGATGATTTAAACGTGCATAGCTGCAGTGGCTTCCTAATATCGGAAGCGAGAGCGTTCCAGACGGCCGCAGAAGCGCATCTAAAAGCGCGCGATGCAGTGACCACCGTCTTGGTCCGATGGTTAGCCAGAAGCGGGGTTGTTAACGGAGTGCGCTAACCACTGCGCCACCACTCCTGGCCTAACCCCCACCCACCAACATTGCAATCCCTTCGTGATGACTCTGTGAATCCACTGCTGGATGAAAGCCTCCCCATGCCCGACGGTATGGGCGACGGGGTTGGGGGGGGGGTCGTGCTGCCACCTTTGGCCTGCAGATAAATGCTTCAACGCTTTAAGTGGTGGGAGTGTGGGTGGTGGTAGTTAGTGGTGGGCGGTGAGGTGGGTGGGTGGGTGGGGTGGTGGTGAGTGAGTTAGTGGGTGGTGGTGGTGGGGGGGGGTACTTTGTTCCTTTGTTTTCATGTTAATTCAATTACTTATTAATGCCGCTCGCAGCAATTTGCGGCCCTCTCTCTCTCTCGCGTGCGCGCGGATGATGCTGATGGGCCGTGAATGTCAATGTGCGTAGATTTTGGGGGGGGCTGCTCCTGCAGTGTGAATCCTAATGCTGCTACGGCTTGCTGCGATGCCGTCTTCACCATTGTTGTTGAGTGGTGGTGGTTGTTGTTGTTGTGTGAATGTTAATGCTTGGGGCTGACTTCCGTCGCAAGATATAAGCGCCCGCATTGATTCTTAACGCGCAACAAGAAAGGGAATGGGGGGGGGGGGTAAAATAAATAAATATTGCGCGCAACTTTACGCTATTTGTCAATAACATTGTGTGTGTGTGTGTGCCTGCTGTTAGCGGTAACAAATAGATGATAGGCGATGTTTCGGGCAATGCCCTCACCCCATCCACTGTGTTTATCGCTCTGGGTGTTTGGGTGATGATGATGCTGGGTGTCTGGGTGGTGATGATGCTGGGTGTCTGGGTGGTGATGATGCTGGGTGTCTGGATGGTGATGATGCTGGGTGTCTGGGTGGTGATGATGCTGGGTGTCTGGGTGGTGATGATGCTGGGTGTCTGGGTGGTGATGATGCTGGGTGTCTGGATGGTGATGATGCTGGGTGTCTGGGTGGTGAGGATGCTGGGTGTTTGATTGATGATGATGATGCTGGGTGTCTGGGTGATAATGATGCTGGGTGTCTGGGTGGTGATGATGCTGGGTGTTTCATTGATGATGATGCTGGGTGTCTGGGTGGTGACGATGCTGGGTGTCTGAGTGATGATGATGCTGGGTGTCTGTGTGATGATGATGATGCTGGGTGTCTGGGTGGTGAGGATGCTGAGTGTCTGAGTGATGATGATGCTGGGTGTCTGTGTGATGATGCTGGGTGTCTGGATGGTGATGATGCTGGGTGTCTGGGTGATAATGATGCAGGGTGTCTGGGTGGTGATGATGCTGGGTGTCTGGGTGGTGATGATGCTGGGTGTCTGGGTGGTGATGATGCTGGGTGTTTGATTGATGATGATGCTGGGTGTCTGGATGGTGATGATGCTGGGTGTCTGGGTGATAATGATGCTGGGTGTTTGAGTGATGATGATGCTGGGTGTTTGATTGATGATGATGCTGGGTGTCTGGGTGGTGACGATGCTGGGTGTCTGAGTGATGATGATGCTGGGTGTCTGTGTGATGATGATGATGCTGGGTGTCTGGGTGGTGAGGATGCTGGGTGTCTGAGTGATGATGATGCTGGGTGTCTGTGTGATGATGCTGGGTGTCTGGGTGGTGATGACGCTGGGTGTCTGGGTGGTGATGACGCTGGGTGTATGGGTGGTGATGACGCTGGGTGTCTGGGTGGTGATGACGCTGGGTGTCTGGGTGGTGATGACGCTGGTTGTCTGGGTGGTGATGACGCTGGGTGTCTGGGCTGTGATGCTGCTGGGTGTCTGGGTGATGATGACGCTGGTTGTCTGGGTGGTGATGACGCTGGGTGTCTGGGTGGTGATGACGCTGGGTGTCTAGGTGGTGATGACGCTGGGTGTCTGGGTGGTGATGACGCTGGGTGTCTGGGTGGTGATGACGCTGGGTGGTGATGACGCTGGGTGTCTGGGTGGTGATGATGCTGGGTTTATCGGTGGTGATGACGCTGGGTGTCTGGGTGGTGATGACGCTGGGTGTCTGGGTGGTGATGCTGCTGGGTGTCTGGGTGGTGATGACGCTGGGTGTCTGGGTGGTGATGACGCTGGGTGTCTGGGTGGTGATGACGCTGGGTGTCTGGGTGGTGATGCTGCTGGGTGTCTGGGTGGTGATGATGCTGGGTGTCTGGGTGGTGATGATGCTGGGTGTCTGGGTGGTGATGACGCTGGGTGTCTGGGTGGTGATGATGCTGGGTGTCTGGGTGGTGATGACGCTGGGTGTCTGGGTGGTGATGACGCTGGGTGTCTGGGTGGTGATGACGCTGGGTGTCTGGGTGGTGATGATGCTGGGTGTCTGGGTGGTGATGACGCTGGGTGTCTGGGTGGTGATGACGCTGGGTGTCTGGGTGGTGATGATGCTGGGTGTCTGGGTGGTGATGCTGCTGGGTGTCTGGGTGGTGATGACGCTGGGTGTCTGGGTGGTGATGACGCTGGGTGTCTGTGTGATGATGATGCTGGGTGTCTGGGTGGTGATGACGCTGGGTGTCTGGGTGGTGATGACGCTGGGTGTCGCTGGCCGTGGCAGGCTCCCCGTGGAGGATCCTCCTGCAGGGGGTGCCCGCGGACTCCCTCAACGTCTCCACGCCGCCGCTCGCGCCTGGCAGCTCCTACCGCTTCCGCCTGAGCGGCCTCAACGGCGTGGGCACGGGGGAGCCCAGCGCGGAGAGCGAGAGGTGGGGGAGGGGCATGGGGGGAGGGGGGGCACGAGGGTGGGGGGAAGGGGAATGGGGGAGCCGAGAAGAGAACGCGTGGGGAGGGACAATTCCCGCTGTTGCTCACAGCAGTGGCAACCAGCTGACGATCATGAGAGATCGTAGCGGTGATGATTCAGGTGATGATGATAGGAATGATGGAGATCCACATCATAGTGACAATGTCCATTACAGCGGTGATGATGGTCATGAAATTGACGGTGATGACACCGCTCCACACGAGATCTTACATCCCAAGGCATTATTCGTGTTAATGTTTTAATTCTATTTAAATAAATAGATGGTGATGCCAGTAAATGATGATTATAACAATAATGAAGGGTGATGATAATTAAGGCAGATGGCTGGTGGTGGTGGTGTTGATGATGGTAATGATGATCATAATGATGATGGTGGTGATGATGTTGGTGATGATGGTGGTAATGATGATAAAGATGGTGGTAATGATGATGGTGATAATGATGATGGTGATAATGATGATGGTGGTATTAATGATGATGATTGTGATGATGGTGGTAATGATGATGATGGTGATGAAGACCGTGATGATGATGATGATGGTGATGAAGACCGTGATGATGATGATGGTAACGATCTTGGCCATCAAACAGGATCTCCTTTCCCGAAGAGCCTCCGGACGCCCCCCCGAGGAAAGTGGTCACGTCCGCGCGCACGAACGAGACGATCGTCCTGCAGTGGCTGCCTCCCCTCGAGAGCCAATGGAACGGTCCGCTCAAGGGCTACCTCATCAGGTGCGCGCAGTGAGGGCCTCACGAGCCCACGTGGCGGTCGCCAATGAACCCGCAAACGGGTTCATTGATAATTAATTGGTGATAATGCTACACTGGCGCTGGACACACTGTGTGAGTCTATGGGTCTCTGTGTGAGGTCTAGGGGTCTCTGTGTGAGTCTATGGGTCTATGTGTGAGGTCTATGGGTCTCTGTGTGAGTCTATGGGTTTCTGTGTGAGTCTATTGGTCTCTGTGTGAGTCTATGGGTCTCTGTGTGAGTCTAGGGGTCTCTGTGTGAGTATATGGGTCTATGTGTGAGTCTATGGGTCTATATGTGAGTCTATTGGTCTCTGTTGGAGTCTATGGGTCTCTGTGTGAGTCTATGGGTCTCTGTGTGAGGTCTACGGGTCTCTGCGTGAGTCTATGGGTCTATGTGTGAGTCTATTGGTCTCTGTGTGAGTTTATGGGTCTATGTGTGAGTCTATTGGTCTCTGTGTGAGGTCTACGGGTCTCTGCGTGAGTCTATGGGTATATGTGTGCGTCTACGGGTCTCTGTGTGAGTCTATTGGTCTCTGTGTAAGTCCATGGGTCTCTTGTGTTAGTCCATGGGTCTCTGTGTTAGTCTATCGCTCTCTGTGTGAGTCCATGGGTTTCTTGTGTGCGTCTACGGGTCTCTGTGTGAGTCTATTGGTCTCTGTGTAAGTCCATGGGCCTCTGTGTTAGTCTATGGGTCTCTGTGTGAGTCTATCGCTCTGCGTGTGAGTCCATGGGTTTCTTGTGTGAGTCTATGGGTCTCTGTGTGAGTCTATCGCTCTCCGTGTGAGTCCATAGGTTTCTTGTGTGAGTCTATGGGTCTCTGTGTGAGTCTATGTGTCTATGAGTCTACGGGTCTCTGTGTGAGTCTATTGGTCTCTGTGTAAGTCTATGGGTCTCTTGTGTTAGTACATGGGTCTTTGTGTTAGTCTATCGCTCTCCATGTGAGTCCATGGGTTTCTTGTGTGAGTCTATTGGTCTCTGTGTGAGTCCATGGGTTTCTTGTGTGAGTCTATGAGTCTCTGTGTGAGTCTATGGGTCTATGTATGAGTCTACGGGTCTCTGTGTGAGTCTATTGATCTCTGTGGTAGTCCATGGGTCTCTGTGTGAGTCTATTGGTCTCTGTGTGAGTCTACGGATCTCTGTGTGAGGTCTACGGGTCTCTGTGTGAGTCTACGGGTCTCTGTGTGAGTCTATTGGTCTCTGTGTTAGTCCATGGGTCTCTGTGTAAGTCTTTGGGTCTCAAGGCTGTGTGCAGTGGCGACAGTTCCAGGACTTCGCAGTCACGTCGAGTTAAAATAGAGAGCTCCATCGAGAATCGTAGAGATACACAGAGACTCATAGACTCTTAGTCAAACTCAGATTTATATTTACGCGATCTAACCCAAAACAACCGCTCTTATGAGTTAATTTTAGCTGCTAAGGTCCCATTAATACAAAAGCAGTTCTAGTCCAGTTGCTGGTGACATCAGGCTAGAGGCGACGCGCTCACTAACAAGGAGCAAAAACAACAACAACTTTTTACAAACGAAACCTACGCCGGGACTTCCTGCGAACAGGCACAATCATAACCAGCGCTTATCCCACGAATCAACAACAGTGTCATCAACAACACATCCTGTGGCAGCCGACTGGCGCAAAATAGACTGCGTGTGGTTGCCTACGACCTGTGTGTGGTTGCCTACGACCTGCGTGTGGTTGCCTACGACCTCCGTGTGGTTGCCTACGACCTGTGTGTGGTTGCCTACGACCTGTGTGTGGTTGCCTACGACCTGCGTGTGGTTGCCTACGACCTGAGTGTGGTTGCCTACGACCTGTGTGTGGTTGCCTACGACCTGCGTGTGGTTGCCTACGACCTGCGTGTGGTTGCCTACGACCTGAGTGTGGTTGCCTACGACCTGTGTGTGGTTGCCTACGACCTGCGTGTGGTTGCCTACGACCTGTGTGTGGTTGCCTACGACCTGCGTGTGGTTGCCTACGACCTGCGTGTGGTTGCCTACGACCTGCGTGTGGTTGCCTACGACCTGTGTGTGGTTGCCTACGACCTGCGTGTGGTTGCCTACGACCTGAGTGTGGTTGCCTACGACCTGTGTGTGGTTGCCTACGACCTGCGTGTGGTTGCCTACGACCTGCGTGTGGTTGCCTACGACCTGCGTGTGGTTGCCTACGACCTGTGTGTGGTTGCCTACGACCTGCGTGTGGTTGCCTACGACCTGCGTGTGGTTGCCTACGACCTGTGTGACGTATGGCTCGGGGCACGTGGACACTGAAAAGTGAAAAGCGGAATAAGAGGCTGCAGGTCTTCATCCAAATCTGAGATTATACAAAATTATTGGAAAGCAGTGTAAGTACAGCAGCTGGAATTCCCGACTGAGTGATTATATTATATCTCTGTCTCACGGTCTCTCTGTCTTCCGGTCTCTGTGTCTCTCTGTCTCTCTCCCTGTCTTTGTCGTCTCTCTCTGTATCTATTTGTCTCTCTCCCTGTCTCTGTCTCTCTCTGTCTCTTTCCCCGTATCTCTCTCCCTGTCTCTCTCTGTCTCTCTTTCCCTCTCCCTGTCTCTCTCTCTCTGTCTCTCTCTGTCTCTCTCCCTGTATCTCTCTCTTTCTGTCTCTCTCTTTTTTTACGATCAGAGTAAACAAGAAGATGCTCGGTGTAGTCGGCACTTTGCTTCATTCATCTTTTCGTTTTTTTTATGCTTTGCTTTATGTAAACCCCTGCCCCCTTTTTAAATGAAAGATTTAACAAAAGATGTCTCGCTCTGCTCTCTTTACCCCTTCCCTCTCTCTCTCTACCCCCCTCTCTGCCCCCCCCCCCCCTCTCTCTCTATCCCCTCTCTTCCTACTCCATGTCGCTCTCTCCCTCTCTCTCTCTCCCGGTGTCTCTGCAGGTACAAGCTGGCCGACTCAGGCGCTGACTACCAGTACAAGAACCTCCCCAACGCGGAGCTGGGCAGCTACGTTCTGGAGGAGCTGCGAGTATGGACCGGCTATGCCATGGCCGTGGCAGCCTACAACGGTGCGGGCCTAGGGCCCTACAGCTCGCCACCGGCCCGCGATGCCACGCTGGAGGGAGGTGAGGGCTACCCCCCAGCCCCCCAGCCCCCCAGCCCCCCAGCCCCTCCCGGGCGTCGTCACCAGGCACTCACTCGCACGTCACTCACTCGTCCGTCACTCACACGTCACTCACTCACGCAATCGCACGTCACTCACTCATTCGCTTGGCACTCACCCGTCACTCACCTGTCACTTACCCGCCACTCACCTATCACTCACTTTGCCCGTCACTCGCCCGTCACTCACTCACGCAATCGCCCGTCACTCACACGTCACTCACACGTCATTCATTCGCTCGTCACTCACTCACCCGTCACTCACCAGGCACTCACTCGCACGTCACTCACTCACGCAATCGCACGTCACTCACTCATTCGCTTGTCATTCACCCGTCACTCACCTGTCACTCACTCACCCGTCACTCACTCACGCAATCGCACGTCACTCACTCACCCGTCACTCGCACGTCACTCAGTCACCCGTCACTCACTCACCCGTCACTCACTCACGCAATCGCCCGTCACTCACACGTCATTCACACGTCACTCATTCGCTCGTTACTCACCCGTCACTCACCCGTCACTCACTCACTCACGCAATCGCACGTCACTCACTCTCATGTCACTCACTCACCCGTCACTCACTCGCCCGTCACTCACACGTCACTCATATCGGCACTCGGCACACATCACTTATCACACGTCACTCACCCATCAAAACCCAACACTCACCCGTGACTCTCCCGTCATTCACTCACCCTACGTCACCACTGGAGAGACAAAGGCGGCCGGGCGTGGTGCTGACCACCCACCCCCTCATGTGCTGTACCGGCATTCAGAGGTGCTCGCTAGCAGCACTTGCCCCAACGGTCTGTTCAGGCTATACGGGGGGGTTTTGTTTTTTGCGTCGATAAGTGTATATGTTTTTTTAGATATATATAAAAATATGTGGTGCATCGACCAGTCATCTCAGTCGGTCAACCTATGGCACCCGCTGGGTCTGCCCCGTGACCTCCTGCCAGCGGGTGTTCGACACTTCACGTGGCCTCAACGTGCACCTAGCCTGGCACAAGCGCCGTGGCGACGTCACCGCCACTTAGTGTTGTTGTTTGTTGTTGTTGTTGTGTGTGTATATATTGCGCATCTTGCCTCTGCCAAACGGGGCGTTCCCCGCGCTGCACCCAACTCTTCGCCCAAGGCAGTCAGTTAGTCAGGCAGTCAGTCAGGTAGTCAGTAAGTCAGTCAGTCAGGCAATCAGTCAGTCAGGCAGTCAGTCAGTCAGGCAGTCAGTAAGTCAATCAGTCAGTCAGGCAGTCAGTCAGGCAGTCAGTCAGTCAGTCAGTCGGTCGCTGGATTGGAGCGGCGAGGCGGATCGATGGGGTCTCACCGCCAGGCCGGTGGTACGGCGCCACCGACAGCGACAATGATGATGATGATGATGTCGACGACGACGATGATGTCGACGACGACGATGATGATGTCGATGATGATGATGTTGATGTCGACGACGACGATGATGATGTCGACGACGATGATGATGATGACGATGATGATGTTGATGTCGACGACGACGACAACGACGATGATGATGTCAACGACGACCACGATGATGATGTCGACGACGATGACGACGATGATGTCGACGACAATGATGATGATGTCGACGACGATGACGACGATGATGTCGACGACGACGACGATGATGACGATGATGATGATGATGATGTCTACGACGACAACGATGATGTCGACGACGATGACGATGATGACGACGACGACGACGATGATGTCGACGGCGACGATCGCGATGTGACAGCGCGCGCCTAAACGTGGCTCCCGCTGACGCCCCTCGTTCCCGTGCAATCCACGTCGTGGTTTTTTCGCCAGAGGCACCGTTGATCGGCAGCCGCGGGAACTCTGCGAGCATTTATTAAATGTTAATTGCTGGCTAATTGAACATTATTGGAGGAGGGGGGGGGGGCAAAGGGTGGGTACTCCGCTTCGCTTTAATTTGCGTGGCATGAATAAGGTATGAACGATGAGAGCTCCTTACCTCCTGGTATCCCTGTGCATCTCTATCTGTCGATGGCCGTGTAACACGAGGTGTGTGTGTATACGTGTCTGTGTGTGTGTATACGTGTCTGTGTGTGTATACGTGTCTGTGTGTATACATGTCTGTGTGTATACGTGTCTGTGTGTGTATACGTGTCTGTGTGTATACGTGTCTGTGTCTGTGTGTATACGTGTCTGTGTGTATACGTGTCTGTGTGTGTATACATGTCTGTGTGTATACGTGTCTGTGTGTGTATACATGTCTGTGTGTGTATACGTGTCTGTGTGTGTATACGTGTCTGTGTGTATACGTGTCTGTGTGTATACGTGTCTGTGTGTATACGTGTCTGTGTGTGTATACGTGTCTGTGTGTATATACATGTCTGTGTGTATACATGTCTGTGTGTGTATACATGTCTGTGTGTATACATGTCTGTGTGTATACGTGTCTGTGTGTGTATACGTGTCTGTGTGTGTATACGTGTCTGTGTGTGTATACATGTCTGTGTATACGTGTCTGTGTGTATACGTGTCTGTGTGTGTGTATACGTGTCTGTGTGTATACGTGTCTGTGTGTGTATACGTGTCTGTGTGTATACGTGTCTGTGTGTATACGTGTCTGTGTGTGTATACGTGTCTGTGTGTGTATACATGTCCGTGTGTATACGTGTATGTGTGTGTATACATGTCTGTGGGTGTATACGTGTCTGTGTGTATACGTGTCTGTGTGTATACGTGTCTGTGTGTGTATACATGTCTGTGTGTGTATACGTGTCTCTGTGTGTATACGTGTCTGTGTGTATACGTGTCTGTGTGTATACGTGTCTGTGTGTGTATACATGTCTGTATGTGTATACATGTCTGTGTATACGTGTCTGTGTGTATACGTGTCTGTGTGTGTGTATACGTGTCTGTGTGCATACGTGTCTGTGTGTGTATACGTGTCTGTGTGTATACGTGTCTGTGTGTATACGTGTCTGTGTGTGTATACGTGTCTGTGTGTGTATACATGTCCGTGTGTATACGTGTCTGTGTGTGTATACATGTCTGTGGGTGTATACGTGTCTGTGTGTATACGTGTCTGTGTGTATACGTGTCTGTGTGTGTATACATGTCTGTGTATACGTGTCTCTGTATGTATACGTGTCTGTGTGTGTATACGTGTCTGTGTGTCTATACATGTCCGTGTGTATACCTCAGTGGCCCGTGATCACAAATCTCTATTTAACTCCATCAAAAAAGTAACCTGTAGCGCCACACCTATTACCATCATTAGGGGAAAAACCGGTGATCCAATTTCCGACCCCCAGGAACAGGTTCGCAGATTTGCTGAGCATTTCTGTGAGGTCCTGAGGGAGGGAAAATCCCTCAGCCAGGAAAACATCGTGGCACAAAGTGAGGATGACCCTGCTGAGGCTGCGGTGCCTCAAATATTGGATGAAGTCACCCCCTGTGAGTGGCTGGCTGAGATGCCATCTGCTGAGGAAGTATTGAAGGCGATCCGGAGTCTGAGACCAGGAAAGGCAGCGGGCAGAGATGATCTCCCAAGCGAAATGCTGAGGGAGGGTGGCGTTTGTGCACAGACTGCCCTATATGACATCATAACAACAGTCTGGACCACTGGACGGGTTCCGCAGGATTGGAAGGATGCCCTGGTGGTCCCCCTTTTTAAGAAGGGGGGACCGCACAGACTGTAACAACTACAGGGGCATCTCACTCCTCAGTGTGCCGGGAAAGGTCCTGGCAAGGATTATTCAGCATCGCCTTGCCAGGCACGCTGAGGAGAGGCTTGCGGAGCCCCAATGCGGTTTCAGGAAAGGGCGGTCCTGCACAGATGCCATATTTTCTGTCCGTCTGCTACAGCAGAGGTGTAGGGAATTCCAACAAGACCTACATCTCTGCTTTATTGACCTGGTCAAGGCCTATGATACCATCAGTAGGCCTGGGCTCTGGGTCGTTCTTCGTGCTTTTGGAGTACCTGACCCTCTGCTCACGATCATTAAGGACCTTCATGATGGTGAGCGGGCCCGGGTAAAACTACGTGGCCGGGAGTCAGAGCCATTCCCTGTACACCTTGGGGTGCGACAGGGATGTCCTCTGGCTCCCACATTATTTAACATCTATTTTGACCACGTAGTTCGTGAAGCCTTCAATAGCTGTACCGGGGGAATCTCCATATGGTACAGATATAATGGGAGGCTGATCGATGCCCGGGTGCGGTCAAGGGATGGCTCCCTATTGCTCAACCACGTTATGTATGCTGATGACTTGGTAATAGCTGCTCAGTCAGAGGAGGAGTTGGAGACGCTGCTGCTGAGACTGGAGCGTGCCACTAAGTGGTGGGGCCTTACCATCAGCCCCACCAAAACTAAGCACCTGCCTGGGTATTTTGTACCATCGGACACTCCACCGCCACAACTCCCAATCGGTGATGGGGCAGTTGTGGAGAGAGTGGAGAGTTTCCCATACCTGGGCAGTGTGCTTATGACTGGCTCCAGTTTAACAGCAGAGGTCTCACTCCGAATCAGTCGAGCGGCAATATCTTTTCATCGGTTGCGTAACGCTGTGTGGAAGCTACCTGGTCTGTCGCTCCGCACTAAGCTTCAGGTCTTCTCTGCCACGATCATTCCCTCCCTTCTCTACGCTTGCGAAACGTGGACCCCCCTAATGGAACATCTTCGCCGGTTAGAAACATTAGGCTGACCTGCCTACGATCCATCCTGGGTTTAACCAGACTGGATTGTGTGAGGAGCTCACAAATCCTTGAAAGATCTGGGCAGGGTCCCATCGGTGAGCTCCTCCGGCAGGCAAGGCTGCGATGGCTGGGTCATGTAGCCCGCATGCCCAGCCACCGCATGCCGAAACAGCTTTTGTTTGGCCGGATCGAGGGGGCTAAGCGGGCGCGGCACGGGCTAGAGAAGAGATGGAGTGATGTGGTACAGGAGGACGTGGAGCTGAGTGGACTTGCCGATGACTGGTACCAGCGGTGTCAAGATCGGCCTCTGTGGAGGAGGCTCGTGAAGGATGCTACTGGGCAGTTGGAGGCAGTCGCCCTCCAACAACAACGAAGGGCGGAGGAGCGACGCTCACAACAGCGAACGGAGCGCCGGGTGGCTAAAGCACAGCAGGTTGGCACAGTAGGGGGCACAGGTGGTGCATCAGCCAGTCATCTCAGTCAGTCGACCCGTGGCACCTGGGTCTGCCCCGTGACCTGCCAGCGGGCGTTCGACACTTCACGTGGCCTCAGGGTGCACATAGCCTGGCACAAGCGTCGTGGTGACGTCACCGCCACTTAGTGGCGAATGGCGGTTGTTGTTGTTGTTGTATGTATACGTGTCTGTGTGTGTATACATGTCTGTGGGTGTATACGTGTCTGTGTGTATACGTGTCTGTGTGTGTATACGTGTCTGTGTGTATACATGTCTGTGTGTGTATACGTGTCTGTGTGTGTGTATACATGTCTGTGTGTATAGGTGTCTGTGTGTGTATACGTGTCTGTGTGTGTATACGTGTCTGTGTGTATACGTGTCTGTGTGTGTATACGTGTCTGTGTGTATACATGTCTGTGTGTGTATACGTGTCTGTGTGTGTGTATACATGTCTGTGTGTATAGGTGTCTGTGTGTGTATACGTGTATGTGTGTATACGTGTCTGTGTGTGTATACGTGTCTGTGTGTATACATGTCTGTGTGTGTATACGTGTCTATGTGTGTATACGTGTCTGTGTGTATACGTGTCTGTGTGTGTGTGTGGCCGGGTGCGGTACTGGCCACCCACTCACTCGTGTACCGTGCTGGCCTTCATAGCTGCTCGCTAGCAGCACTTGCCCCTACAGTCTGTTCAGGCTATACGGGTGATCTTTGCGTGTGTGTGTGTGTAAGTCATCGCCACTAGGGAGACAAAGACGGTCGGTCGTGGTGCTCGGCCACCCACCCCCTTGTGCGATGTCCCGGCAATTAATAGGTGGACGCAAACAGCACTCGCTCCATCAGTCTGTTCGAGGCTATGTAAGTGGGATCTTAGTCTACGTTTATAACAGTCATCTTGTTCAGTGAAGCAAGGGCCTTGCCAGCGAGCCTCCAACACTTCACGTGGCCTACAAGTGCACCTAGCTTGGCACACAAGCAACTTGGTGATGTCACTGCCGCTAAGTGGCTGCTGCTGCTGCTTCTGTTATTGTTGTTGTTGTTTGTGGCCCAGTCCCCACAGCTCCACCAGAGAGGGTCCAGGCTCAGGCCGTCAACTCAAGCGCCATCAAGATTACCTGGCGACCTCCAGATCCCCTCCGCACCAACGGGATCCCTCGCGCATACAGGGTAACAACTGATCCCCCCTCCCAGTCACTCAGACACCCAGCTACCTACCCACCCAGTCACTCAGACACCCAGCTATCCACTCACCCATTCACTCAGACACCCAGCTATCTACTCACCCAGTCACTCAGACACCCAGCTATCTACCAGTCCAGTCACTCAAACACCCAGCTATCTACTCACCCAGTCACTCAGACACCCAGCTATCTACTCACCCAGTCACTCAGACACCCAGCTATCTACCAGTCCAGTCACTCAGACACCCAGCTATCCACTCACCCAGTCACTCAGACACCCAGCTATCTACTCACCCAGTCACTCAGACACCCAGCTATCTACCAGTCCAGTCACTCAGACACCCAGCTATCCACTCACCCAGTCACTCAGACACCCAGCTATCTACTCACCCAGTCACTCAGACACCCAGCTATCCACTCACCCAGTCACTCAAACACCCAGCTATCTACTCACCCAGTCACTCAGACACCCAGCTATCTACCAGTCCAGTCACTCAGACACCCAGCTATCTACTCACCCAGTCACTCAGACACCCAGCTATCTACTCACCCAGCTATCTACTCACCCAGTCACTCAGACACTCAGCTATCCACCAGTCCAGTCACTCAGACACCCAGATATTCACACACCCAGTCACTCAGACACCCAGCTATCTACCCACCCAGTCACTCAGACACCCAGCTATCTACTCACCCAGTCACTCAGACACCCAGCTATCTACTCACCCAGTCACTCAGACACCCAGCTATCTACCAAGTCACTCAGACACCCAGCTATCTACCCACCCAGTCACTTAGACACCCAGTTATCTACTCACCCAGTCACTCAGACACCCAGCTATCTACCCACCCAGTTACTCAGACACCCAGCTATCCACTCACCTAGTCACTCAGACACCCAGCTATCTACCCACCCAGTTACTCAGACACCCAGCTATCCACTCACCCAGTCACTCAGACACCCAGCTATCCACTCACCCAGTCACTCAGACACCCAGCAGAGTGAGGTGCAGTTTTGGGTCGGAAGCGTAAATGGGGATCGTTTATTTATTTATTTAGCCCCAATTACCGCTGGCTCGTTAAGTGGCGGCAGAGACGGTGGAGGTAACGAGGCTGACGTAGTTTCCCGGGTCACGTTGGGCCTCTCCGTCGCTCAAGTGGCTCGCGTTCACGGTAGGGGGTGGGGGCGTGGGGGGGTTGGTGGGGGGGACTCTGTTGCCATGGTGACGCTGTTGCCTTGTCCCCCCCCCCATTACCCCCCCCCCCGGTCCCCGGCTCCCAGCTGTTGGTACGTCGCACCTCCTCCGTCGCCAATGACGACGACGATGATGAGGATGCGGGCGCGGCTGCCGATTGGCTGGTGGCGCCGGACTCGGCCGACCCCCTGCACGTTGCCGTGGCGACGGGGCTGCCCGCGTACACGGAGTTCGCGGTGACGGTGCGGTGCGCGACCTCGCCGGGAGAGGGGCCCGAGAACTCCCCGCCGGCACGGGCACGCACCCTGCACGACGGTACGGGCGAGAGAGACAAAGGCGGCCTCCCCTACCCTACCCCCCCTCCCCGTACACCACGCCCACTCTCCTACCCCCCCTCCCCCACGCCAGCCCCTCCCCTCGCCCCCCCCCCCCAGGACCCCCTCCTACCCCTCCCGACGACCCTTCACCTCCCCTGAACCCCCTGCCCCTCCCCTCGCCTCCCCCCGCATTCTGACCTCCCCCAGGCCCTCCCCCACCCTTCCCAACGACCCCTCCCCTCACCCCGCCCCCTCCCCTCTCCTCCCCTAGGCCCCACCCCTCCCAACAACCCCTCCCCTCGCCTCCCCCACACCTCCGACCCCCCTGCCCCTCCCGCCGACCCCCAGTACACAGACAAAGATCCCCCGTATAGCCTTCAACAGACTGTTGGGGCAAGTGCTGTTTGTGAGCACCTATGAAGGCGGGAACAGCACACGAGTGGGTGGGTGGTCAGCATTATTGCCCGGCCGCCTTTGTCTCCCCTCGTGCCCATGTTTACACATTGCGCCCCGGAATCATTTGAGGCTGAGTCGACCTAGGGGCTATGAGCGAGTATCGATTCTCGGGTCGCCAGGTTTGTAGCGCAAGTGCGCTAACCATTGATCAACCGCTCCCCACGTACACACACATACACACACACACATGTACAAAGACAAATATCCCCCGAATAGCCTTAACAGGCTGTTGGGGCAAGTGCTGTTAGTGAGCACCTATGAAGGCCGACACGGCGCACGAGGGGGTGGGTGGCCAGCACCACGCCCGACCGCCTTTGTTTCGCCAGTGGCGTTGTTCACACACCGCACCAGGTACTCATTTGAGGCGGAGTCGACCTAGGGGAGGCCCCGGACCGGTTCAGACTAATCGTCCCTGGTGTTGACCGTGACCTGGAATCGAACCCGGGGGTCGTCGGGTTCGTAGCGCGGCGTAGCGCTCACCGCCACACTGCGTGTACAACAACAGCGGCCATTCGCCACTAAGTGGCGGTGGCGTCACCACACGGCGCTTGTGCCAGGCTAGGTGCACGTTGAGGCCACGTGAAGTGGTCGAACGCCCGCCCGCAGGAGGTCACGGGGCAAACCCAGCAGGTGCCACGGGTTGACTGACCGAGACGTACACAAACATTCACGTGTGTACATACACGTATGCACGCGTGCACAGACGCAAGGCTGATTGGTCAAAATGCCTTGCATGAACTCGCTGTCCAAAGTGGCCCCGCGGGAGAGTCATCGCTGACTTTCTTGCCCAAGTGGCTGATGGCACGCCACGATGTGGAGCCGAGTGGACTTGCCGATAACTAGTCCCAGCGGTGTCACGGTCGGCCTCTGTGGAGTGGTGAAAGGAGGAAGAAGAGGATGGAGGCGGAGGAGGAGGAGGTTCGTGGGCATTTGGGGGGCATTCGCCCTCCAGCAACAGAGGAGGGCGGAGGAGCGACTCTCGCGCCAACGAGCGGCGGGTAAATCGCAGCACCTCGGCACACCGTGGGGGGCACGGGTGGTGCGTCACCTCGGTCAGCCAACCCATGGCACCTGATGGGTCTGACACGCGCGACCTCCTTGTCGGCGAGCCCTCGACACTTCCACGCGATTGCCTCGAAGGACACCCAGCCTGGCACAATCGCTCTGGTGATATCACCGGTGATATCACCGCCAGTTAGTGGCGAACGGCGGCTGCTGTTCGCGTGTCGTTGTGGTAGTGGGGAGCGATGGGTCACCCTGGTTCGAGTCCCGCTCACGGCCTGCAACAGACTCGGATGTTTGAACCGGTCCTGGGCCTGTCCTAGGTCGACTCAGCCTCAAAACATCAGCGCTTGGGAGACAAGGGTGGCCGTGCACGGTCCTGGCCACCCGCCACCTCGTGTGCCATGTTGGCCTTCACAGGTGCTACTCGCTTAAGGAGCACTTGCCTCAACAGTGTATTAAAGGCTATGCGGGGGATCTTTGTCTTTGTGTGCCCACAGTTCCGGGCCGTGTGGAGAACCTGACGATGAGCGACGTGGACGACTCCTCGCTGCGTCTCAGCTGGGACGAACCCCGGCGCAAGAACGGGGTCCTCCTGGGTACACGTCCCCCTCGCTCCCCCAACTCTCTCCACGCACACCCCTGTCGCTCTCTCTCTCCACCCCCACCGCCCCTCTAAAACCCACCTCTCCCCCCCCTCTACCCATCTCTCCACCCCCCACCGCTCTCTCTCTCTCCGACCCCCCCCCCCCCCCCCCCTCTCTCCACAACCCCCACTCTCTCTGTCTCCAAACAAGCTCGCTCAATGAGAGAGTGAATCTCAATGGGCCCCCCCCCCCCCTCACCTGCCTTCAAGGGAAACGAAGCTATTGGCTCAGCTGTGGTGGCGTGCGTCATGGTGGTGGTGGTGTTTTGTGTGGTGTGTGATGTGGTGGACGGTAAACAGGCTACAGGCATGTGGGGGTATACGGGGTGTAGTGTGCATGTTGGCTCGTATGGTGGTGTGTATAGTGCAAGGCCGTAGCCATGGAGTCAACATTGGGGCGGACCAAATCTTCCAGGTTGTCTGGGGGTCCCAACCCAGAAAAATATCTAAATTTGAAAACTAATTTCCTGCCTAAAATATAAAAAAAATTCACTAACTCATGGGATGGACCTTTTTTACCATAATGTCTAATAGTGTATTGTATTACATTACCCTGTTTTTACTTTTATTACCATTTCTTGTTTCATTGTATGTAAATGAGATTAGGGATTAATAAAGTACAACCTTAACATATTCTTGGTTCTTTCGGTAAAGTCACGTAGAAGGGAAACAATAAAATAATAAAAATATAAAACAATTACATTCTCACGACATTTCGACTGCAACACAAGCAATCATCATCAGGTGTGAAAACCACAGCAAGAAAATAAAAAAGACGATTATCCGAACTGGTCCCGGGCCTCCCCTAGGTCGACTCAGCCTCAAATGAGTACCTGGCGCGATGTGTGTAAAAAAAAAATCGCCACCGAGTGAGACAATGCGCCGTGCGTCCCAGCCCACACTCGCGAACAGCCCGTGCCCCTACAGCCCGTGTCCCTACAGCCCGTGCCCCTACAGCCCGTGTCCCTACAGCCCGTGCCCCTACAGCCCGTGTCCCTACAGGCCGTGTCCCTACAGCCCGTGCCCCTACAGCCCGTGTCCCTACAGCCCGTGTCCCTACAGCCCGTGTCCCTACAGCCCGTGCCCCTACAGCCCGTGTCCCTACAGCCCGTGACCCCACAGCCCGTGTCCCTACAGCCCGTGCCCCTACAGCCCGTGTCCCTACAGCCCGCGCCCCTACAGCCCGTGTCCCTACAGCCCGTGTCCCTACAGCCCGTGCCCCTACAGCCCGTGTCCCTACAGCCCGTGCCCCTACAGCCCGTGCCCCTAAAGCCCGTGTCCCTACAGCCCGTGCCCCTACAGCCGGTGACCCTACAGCCCGTGCCCCTACACCCCGTGTCCCTACAGCCCGTGTCCCTACAGCCCGTGCCCCTACAGCCCGTGCCCCTACACCCCGTGTCCCTACAGCCCGTGCCGCTACAGCCCGTGCCCCTACAGCCCGTGTCCCGACAGCCCGTGCTCCTACAGCCCCTTAAGGCTATTAGGAGTGGGTGGGATCTTTCTTTACTCCTCTGTGTGATGGTGTGCACAGGCTACAGCGTCTCGTGGGAACAGGTGAACACGACGCACAGCCGCGTGACGCACCACCTGGCCGCGGGGATACAGCTGCATCGAGTGGGGGGCCTGGCCCCCCACTCTTCGTACCGCCTGTGCGTCACGGCGCGCACCGAAGCCGGCTCTGGCTCCCCGTCCTGCGCCACCGTCACCAGCGGAGTCGCGCCCGGTGTGTGCGTGGTGATGGTGGTGATGGTGGTGATGCCGTGATGATGGTGTTGTGATTATGTTGTGATGCCGTGATGATGCTGTGGTGATGCTGTGATGCTGTGATGATGTTGTGGTGATGTTGTGATGCCGTGATGATGCTGTGGTGATGTGGTGCTGTGATGATGCTGTGATGATGCTGTGATGCCGTGATGATGTTGTGGTGATGCTGTGATGCTGTGATGATGTTGTGGTGATGTTGTGATGCCGTGATGATGCTGTGGTGATGTTGTGGTGCTGTGATGATGCTGTGATGATGCTGTGATGCCGTGATGATGTCGTGGTGATGTTGTGATGCCGTGATGATGTTGTGATGCCGTGATGATGTTGTGCTGCTGTGATGATGTTGTGATGCCGTGATGTCGTGGTGATGTTGTGATGCTGTGGTGATGTTGTGATGCTATGGTGATGTTGTGATGCCGTGATGATGCTGTGGTGATGTTGTGATGCCGTGATGATGCTGTGGTGATGTTGTGATGCTGTGATGATGTTGTGGTGATGTTGTGATGCTGTGATGATGTTGTGGTGATGTGATGCTGTGATGATGCTGTGGTGATGTTGTGATGCCGTGATGATGTTGTGGTGATGCTGTGATGCCGTGATGATGTTGTGGTGATGCTGTGATGCTGTGATGATGTTGTGGTGATGTTGTGATGCCGTGATGATGCTGTGGTGATGTTGTGGTGCTGTGATGATGCTGTGATGATGCTGTGATGCCGTGATGATGTTGTGGTGATGCTGTGATGCTGTGATGATGTTGTGGTGATGTTGTGATGCCGTGATGATGCTGTGGTGATGTTGTGGTGCTGTGATGATGCTGTGATGATGCTGTGATGCCGTGATGATGTCGTGGTGATGTTGTGATGCCGTGATGGTACTGTGGTGATGTTGTGGTGCTGTGATGATGTTGTGGTGATGTTGTGATGCTGTGATGCCGTGATGATGCTGTGATGATGTTGTGATGCCGTGATGATGTTGTGATGATGTTATGATGCTGTGGTGATGGTGTGATGCTGTGGTGATGTTGTGATGCTGTGGTGATGTTGTGGTGATGTGGTGATGTTGTGATGCCGTGATGATGTTGTGGTGATGTTGTGATGCTGTGATGATGCTGTGGTGATGTTGTGATGCTGTGATGCCCTGATGATGTTGTGATGCTGTGATGATGTTGTGATGCTGTGATGATGTTGTGGTGATGTTGTGATGCTGTGATGCCGTGATGATGCTGTGATGATGTTGTGATGCCGTGATGATGTTGTGATGATGTTATGATGCTGTGATGATGTTGTGGTGATGTTGTGATGCTGTGATGATGTTGTGGTGATGTGATGCTGTGATGATGCTGTGGTGATGTTGTGATGCCGTGATGATGTTGTGGTGATGCTGTGATGCCGTGATGATGTTGTGGTGATGCTGTGATGCTGTGATGATGTTGTGGTGATGTTGTGATGCCGTGATGATGCTGTGGTGATGTTGTGGTGCTGTGATGATGCTGTGATGCCGTGATGATGTTGTGGTGATGCTGTGATGCTGTGATGATGTTGTGGTGATGTTGTGATGCCGTGATGATGCTGTGGTGATGTTGTGGTGCTGTGATGATGCTGTGATGATGCTGTGATGCCGTGATGATGTCGTGGTGATGTTGTGATGCCGTGATGGTGCTGTGGTGATGTTGTGGTGCTTTGATGATGTTGTGGTGATGTTGTGATGCTGTGATGCCGTGATGATGCTGTGATGATGTTGTGATGCCGTGATGATGTTGTGATGATGTTATGATGCTGTGGTGATGGTGTGATGCTGTGGTGATGTTGTGATGCTGTGGTGATGTTGTGGTGATGTGGTGATGTTGTGATGCCGTAATGATGTTGTGGTGATGTTGTGATGCTGTGATGATGCTGTGGTGATGTTGTGATGCTGTGATGCCCTGATGATGTTGTGATGCTGTGATGATGTTGTGATGCTGTGATGATGTTGTGATGCTGTGATGATGTTGTGGTGATGTTGTGATGCTGTGATGATGTTGTGATGCCGTGATGATGTTGTGGTGATGTTGTGATGCTGTGATGATGTTGTGATACCGTGATGATGTTGTGGTGATGTTGTGATGCCGTGGTGATGTTGTGGTGATGTTGTGATGCTGTGATGATGCTGTGGTGATGTTGTGATGCCGTGGTGATGTTGTGGTGATGTTGTGATGCCGTGGTGATGTTGTGGTGATGTGATGATGTTGTTATACCGTGATGATGCTCTGGTGATGTTGTGGTGCCGTGATGATGTTGTGGTGATGGTGTGATGCTCTGGTGATGTTGTGATGTTGCGCGATGTCGAAGCAGAGCAGCCCGGTGCCCCCACCATCGCTGCGGTGAGCACGGTGACTCCGCGCTCCGTCGTGCTGCAGTTCCGCTCCGGGTTTGACGGGAAATCCTCCATCCTGCGCTGGCTGGCGGAGTCCCAGGTTACTCCTCAACATCCACCTCATCGTGACTTAATATCCATTGTCAACATCCACCTCGTTGTGATTCAACATCCACCTCATTGTGATTCAACATCCACCTCATTGTGATTCAACATCCACCTCATTGTGATTCAACATCCACCTCATTGTGATTAAACATCCACCTCGTTGTGATTCAACATCCACTTCATTGTGATTCAACATCCACATCATTGTGATTCAACATCCACCTCATTGTGATTCAACATCCACCTCATTGTGATTCAACATCCACCTCGTTGTGATTCAACATCCACCTCATTGTGATTAAAAATCCACCTCGTTGTGATTCAACATCCACCTCGTTGTGATTCAACATCCACCTCGTTGTGATTCAACATCCACCTCGTTGTGATTCAACATCCACCTCGTTGTGATTCAACATCCACCTCGTTGTGATTCAACATCCACCTCGTTGTGATTCAACATCCACCTCGTCGTCACTCGACATCCATTCCTCTTTTGTTCCCTTCCGTCTTCTCGTAGAAACGGCGATGGCACCAAATGAGGTCCACCTCTCTCCACCTCTCCTCTGTCTCCACCTCTCTCTCCCTTTCTCTCACTCTCCTCTGTCTCGTTTTTTTACCATCAGAGGAAACAAGAAGTTGCTCGGTGTAGTCGGCACTTTGCTGCGTTCATCATTTCGGTTTTTTTTATTTAAATCTTTGCTTTGTGTAACCCCCCCCCCCTTTTAAATGAAAGACCCAACAAAATATATATTTGTTTTTAACTACGACAAGTGCTGCATCTGCACGCAGCCCTTCCCACAGTCAAACGGCCTCCGACGGGTAGCTTATATCTGCATGCAGAGCTCTCCGTCATCTGCCACCGAGCACACGGCCTCCTCCAGCGCCCATTCCCACCTCTCTCCACCTCTCCTCTGTCTCCACCTCTCCCTCCCTTTCTCTCTCTCCCTCTCCTCTGCCTCCACCTCTCCCTCCCTTTCTCTCCCTCTCTCTCCTCCTCTCTTTCTCTCCCTCTCTCTCCTCCTCTCTCCACCTCTCTCTCACCCTCTCCTCTACTTTCTTTCTTTAGCATCAGAGGAAACAAGGAAATGCTCGGTGTAGTCGGCAATTTGCTTCGTTCATCATTTAGTTTTTTTTAATGCTTTGCTTTATGTAAGCCACCTCGCCCCCCCTCCCCCACTTTTTAAATGAAATATTTCACAATAGATTTCACATTCTGCTCTCCTTCCCCCCCTCTCTCTCTCTCCACCTCTCTCTGTCCTCCTTTCGCTCTCCTCTGCCTCGCACCAGCTACGCGGCATCCCGAACTCGTCGCCCTCTTTGTTGAGTCCCACTCCTCACCTCGCCCAGCTCAGCGCAGCGCAGCCCAGCGTGGTGCTGGCCACCCACCAACCTCGTGCGCCGTGCCGGCCTTCATCGGTGCTACTCGCTGACAGCACTTGCCCTGACCAGTTTGTTAAAGCTGTACCGGGGGGGGGGGGGGGGAACCGTTGTCTTTGTGTGCTCGTACAGACCGGCCTGGTGGACGAGAGCGACGAATGGAGCGAAGTTTTCGTGATGGGCAACGACCCCAGCACGAGGTCGATCGAGATCCCAAACCTCAACCCCTACACCTTCTACAGGTGAGGCTCACCCCAGCCTGCTCACTCCAACCGCTCTTCCTCAACAACTCCACCCCCCTCACCATCACCCTCCCAACCCCTCCCACTACCCCCCCCCCCCCCATCTTACTTCTCACATCAGCAGCCCTTACTCCAAACCCTCACCCACCACCACACACACCAACGCCCCACCCCCCATATCCCTCACCTCTGACCCTACCCACCCCTACACTTCAGCCCTGATTGAAAACCCTCACCCTTCAACTCTCACCCCAATCCCTCACCCCACCCGTCAACTCTCACCCCAATCCCTCACCCCACCCTTCAACCCATCACCTCACTTTTTAACTCCTCACCCTCCCACTGGACCTGCCTCACCTCCCCATGCGTCTCTTGTCTCCTCTGTCACCTTTCCCCCATTTGAGATAATAACAGGTCAAATTTAAAATTCGCGCATTCCATCCTAGGATCCCAATGGGCAATGCATGGAAAGCAGGAAACTAAAACAGAACCAGGGGCAGCCGACCCAACTAAAGAAGGATGGCCACTTAAAAGAGACGGGGTCTTCAAAGCAGACTTCAATATACCTACCGACTCTGACTTCCAAGTAGCAAGGCGTTCCATAGCTTGGGTGGCACGCTAACTAAAGCCCGCTCAACCGAGAGATGACGCCCCCCCCCCCCCCCCCATTGAGATGACCCCCCATTGAGATGACCCCCCCATTAAGATGACCCCCCCCATTAAGATGACCCCCCCATTGAGATGACCCCCCCATTAAGATGACCCCCATTAAGATGACCCCCCCATTAAGATGACCCCCCCATTAAGATGACCCCCCCATTAAGATGACCCCCCATTAAGATGACCCCCCACATTAAGATGACCCCCCCATTAAGATGACCCCCCCATTGAGATGACCCCCCCCATTGAGATGACCCCCCCTATTGAGATGACCCCCCCCATTAAGATGACCCCCCCATTAAGATGACCCCCCCATTAAGATGACCCCCCCCATTAAGATGACCCCCCCCCATTGAGATGACCCCCCCATTAAGATGACCCCCCCCCATTAAGATGACCCCCCCCATTAAGATGACCCCCCCCCACATTGAGATGACCCCCCCATTAAGATGACCCCCCCCATTAAGATGACCCCCCCCCCATTGAGATGACCCCCCCCATTGAGATGACCCCCCATTAAGATGACCCCCCCCATTAAGATGACCCCCCCATTGAGATGACCCCCCCCATTGAGATGACCCCCCCATTGAGATGACCCCCCTATTGAGATGACCCCCCCATTAAGATGACCCCCCCATTAAGATGACCCCCCCCATTAAGATGACCCCCCCCATTGAGATGACCCCCCCCATTGTGATGACCCCCCCATTAAGATGACCCCCCCCATTAAGATGACCCCCCCCATTGAGATGACCCCCCCATTAAGATTACCCCCCCCCATTAAGATGACCCCCCCCATTAAGATGACCCCCCCCATTGAGATGACCCCCCCCATTAAGATGACCCCCCCATTAAGATGACCCCCCCCATTGAGATGACCCCCCCCATTGAGATGACCCCCCCATTAAGATGACCCCCCCCATTGAGATGACCCCCCCCATTGAGATGACCCCCCCATTAAGATGACCCCCCCCCATTGAGATGACCCCCCCATTAAGATGACCCCCCCCATTAAGATGACCCCCCCCATTGAGATGACCCCCCCCATTGAGATGACCCCCCCATTAAGATTACCCCCCCCATTAAGATGACCCCCCCCATTGAGATGACCCCCCCATTGAGATGACCCCCCCATTGAGATGACCCCCCCATTAAGATGACCCCCCCATTAAGATGACCCCCCATTAAGATGACCCCCCATTGAGATGACCCCCCCATTGAGATGACCCCCCCCATTGAGATGACCCCCCCATTAAGATGACCCCCCCATTAAGATGACCCCCCATTAAGATGACCCCCCCCCCCGTATCATCACCGTGGGGGTTCAGGTTCCGCCTGCGCCAGGCCGGCGTGGGGGGGGTGAGTGCCCCCAGCCTTCCGAGCCGCTGGATCCAAACTCTGCCGGCGCCTCCCGACGTCCCCCCCCAGAACGTGAGCGTCCGCACGGCGGGCGCCACCAGCCTGTGGGTGCGCTGGGTGGTGAGTGGCTTTCCTGCACAGCCTCAACACCGGCAATCGCGGTGGCGGCGACAACGGTAGCGGTGACGGTCTCGGCGATGATGGCGGCGGTGATGGTTGTGGTGATTTCGGTGGCGGTGGCGGTGACGGTTGAGGTGTAGACGGTGGCGGCAACGATGCTGGCGGTGGCGGTGTTGGCGGTGATGCCGGTGGGACCGGTTCGTGGCGGTGGCGGCGGTGGCGGCGGCGAGGTACGCGGGCAGTGAGTGCGATGCACCGCCCTTACCAACGTCGCGTCTCCTCCGCGTGCGTAGCCGCTGGCCGAGTGGCAGTACAACGGCATGCCCGAGTCGCTCGGCTACCGCATCCGCGTGGTGCGCGCCAGCGGGCCCTCGGAGCCGCCCGTCGACCGCACGGTGCCCGACCGCTCGGAGCGCGAGGCCACGCTGGCGCCGCTGCGGCCGCACGTGCCCTACGAGGTGCGCCTCCAGGCCTACAACGCCGTGGGCTCGGGGCCCTGGAGCGAGCCCGTGTCGGGGTTCACCAAGGAGGCCGGTGAGTCACGGAGCGGCGGGCCGGGGTTCACCGCAGAGCCAGGGGGATCGGCAAACCGAACGTAACAAGAAGAGCCGGTCGGTTTTTCGTTCGAATTCGGTACAGAAACTCAATACTTGAAGAGCAGAGGCAGGGATGGGTTAAGGCACCGTCTCTATGCTCACACGTCAGGGAACTACAGACGCCCTCCGTGCTCACACGCAAGTCACACATCCGCCTCATTCGACGGCGCTGCCGAGCCGGCGCGTCGTCTTAACCATCTCAAGATGGTTAAGACGACGTGTATACTGCCCTCTGCTGACGTGTGTACTGCCCTCTGCTGACGTGTATACTGCCCTCTGCTGACGTGTGTACTGCCCTCTGCTGACGTGTGTACTGCCCTCTGCTGACGTGTGTACTGCCCTCTGCTGACGTGTGTACTGCCCTCTGCTGACGTGTGTACTGCCCTCTGCTGACGTGTATACTGCCCTCTGCTGACGTGTGTACTGCCCTCTGCTGACGTGTGTACTGCCCTCTGCTGACGTGTGTACTGCCCTCTGCTGACGTGTGTACTGCCCTCTGCTGACGTGTATACTGCCCTCTGCTGACGTGTGTACTGCCCTCTGCTGACGTGTGTACTGCCCTCTGCTGACGTGTATACTGCCCTCTGCTGACGTGTGTACTGCCCTCTGCTGACGTGTGTACTGCCCTCTGCCTGTCAGTGCCACTTTTCCATCGGCAGGCAGCGCTATTACACTACACGTTACACTACGTCGCGAGGCAGTTCCTTACAGAGCTGCATGTGGCCTCCGGAACCGCAGGTTGCCGACCCCTGATGTAGAGGGTGGCACGGGCTGACACGAATTGGTGCGGGGGTTGGCACGGGTTAGCGCAGGGGTGGGCACGAGTTGAGGAGCTGCAATAACCCAACGCCCCTCCTCCCCGCCACAGCCCCGTCTGCCGGTCCCTCCGACGTGAGCGCCAACGCCACGGGGCCCACGTCCCTCCTGGTCGACTGGGGGCCCGTCCCGGAGGCCCAGCGCAATGGCCTCATCCTGGGCTTCAAGGTGAACACCGCTCACCTTGCCACGTGGCAGGGTCATCACCTACGGGCACCTCGCCCCGGGCCTCGTTAACGCCCTGATTGTGTTATCGGGCGCCGAGGTGGCAAGATGTTAACTACCTCGCCTGGTATACACGAGCTCGTGGGTTCGATCCTGACAATGACGACGCCTGCTGTATATTTGGAGTTTGCAGCTCTCTCTCTCTTTCCGTGGTCAGGTCGATTTTTCTACGGAGTCCTCCGGTTTTTCCCTCCGCATTTAGAATCAACATCACACGTTTAGAGTATTTGGCTGATATACATTTCCACGTGACGATGATGAGCCACTTCAATGGGATATTATTTGTGATGGCCAGGTCGCTTCTGAAAAAGAGCGGTACAGCTCAGTGGGGCCTTACCTGGTAAAATAAATAAAATAGAGTTTCAGTTTCCCTTCACCTGGGCCCTAGGTGGGCGTCTTGACAGCACTGCCCACTGACGTCCCAAGCGCCTTGCGTGATTGTGGCTGTGGTGGCTGTGGTGGCTACGCTGGCACGCGGCCTATACTCCAGCAGCCCTGTGGAGCAGCGTCGTGACCTATAAGCTACGAAGCCCTTTATCACAGACGGTTTCTGGGCGCATCTGGCGAGGTCACACCAGACCACAGAATGACCCCGGTGACAGTCAGGTAGAGCGGCTACTCCTGCTGCTACTCCTGCTGCTGCTACTCCTGCTGCTACTTCTCCTGCTCCTGCTGCTACTGCTGCTCCTGATGCTGCTGCTAGTCCTGCGGCTACTCCTGCTGCTACTTCTCCTGCTCCTGCTGCTACTCCTGCTGCTGCTACTCCTGCTGCTGCTACTCCTGCTGCTGCTACTCCTGCTACTCCTGCTGCTGCTACTCCTGCTGCTGCTACTCCTGCTGCTGCTCCTGCTGCTGCTACTCCTGCTGCTGCTACTCCTGCTGCTACTCCTGCTGCTGCAGTGGCACAGCGGTGCACCGGATCGGTTCCGGCCCCTTCACCGCCCCCCTCCCCTCCCACCTCGCCCCCCAACCCCCATCGCTCACGCCGCAGGTGCTGTACCGGGCGGTGCCGCATCACGGCGCCAACGCCGCCGCGGGAGACGGCGCGGACGGCCGCTATGACGGCGGGGGCGACGATCGCGAGGAAGAGGGGGAAGCGGGGGAGGAGGAGGAGGAGGAGGAAGATGAGGAGGGAAGAAGAGGAGGAGAAGACGCCTCGGAGGACGCGTGGCTGGCGAAGCTGGTGCCGGGCACGTGGGCGCGCCACGCCACGCTCGTGGGGCTGCGCAAGCACACCGTGTACGAGGTGCGCGTGCGTGCCTACACGCGCGCAGGCGACGGCACGCGCACATCCGAGCCCGCGGTGGCGCGCACGCTCGACGACGGTGAGCGCCGATGGGGGGGTGAGGGGGGGGTGAGGGGGGGGGGTAAGCGAAGTGGGGGGGGGGGGGGGGTTGAGGAGCTGTAGCTGAGGGGACAGGACACACGCATGGGCGGAGCCATCAATTCACAAGGTAAAGGCTCCCTTGTGAAACGAGTGTTTGAGTACCGGTAAACTACGTGTGGGGTGTCGCCGTGTGGGGGTGTTGCCGTGTGGGGGTGTCGCCGTGTGGGGGTGTTGCCGTGTGGGGGTGTCACCGTGAGGGGTGTCTCCGTGTGGGGTGTCTCCGTGAGGGGTGTCGCCGTGTGGGGTGTCTCCGTGTGGGGGTGTCGCCGTGTGGGGGTGTCGCCGTGAGGGGGTGTCTCCGTGAGGGGTGTCGCCGTGAGGGGTGTCGCCGTGTGGGGGTGTCGCCGTGAGGGGGTGTCGCCGTGTGGGGTGTCGCCGTGTGGGGTGTCTCCGTGTGGGGGTGTCTCCGTGAGGGGTGTCGCCGTGTGGGGGTGTCGCCGTGTGGGGGTGTCGCCGTGAGGGGTGTCTCCGTGTGGGGGTGTCTCCGTGAGGGGTGTCGCCGTGTGGGGTGTCGCCGTGAGGGGGTGTTGCCGTGTGGGGGTGTCACCGTGAGGGGTGTCGCCGTGAGGGGTGTCGCCGTGTGGGGTGTCGCCGTGTGGGGGTGTTGCCGTGAGGGGTGTTGCCGTGTAGGGTGTCTCCGTGTGGGGTGTCTCCGTGAGGGGTGTCGCCGTGTGGGGTGTCTCCGTGTGGGGGTGTCGCCGTGTGGGGTGTCGCCGTGTGGGGTGTCTCCGTGTGGGGGTGTCGCCGTGTGGGGTGTCGCCGTGTAGGGTGTCTCCGTGTGGGGTGTCTCCGTGAGGGGTGTCGCCGTGTGGGGTGTCTCCGTGTGGGGGTGTCTCCGTGAGGGGTGTCGCCGTGTGGGGTGTCTCCGTGTGGGGGTGTTGCCGTGTGGGGTGTTGCCGTGTGGGGGTGTCTCCGTGTGGGGGTGTTGCCGTGTGGGGTGTCTCCGTGTGGGGGTGTCTCCGTGAGGGGTGTCACCGTGAGGGGGTGTTGCCGTGAGGGGTGTCACCGTGAGGGGGTGTTGCCGTGAGGGGTGTCTCCGTGAGGGGTGTCTCCGTGTGGGGGTGTTGCCGTGTGGGGTGTCGCCGTGTGGTGGGGAGCGGTTAACGCTGCTCTACAAACCTGGCAACCCGGGTTCGATTCCCGCTCACGGCCAACACCACGGCGACGATGATCTGAACCGGTCCTTGGCCTCCCCTAGGTCGACCCAGCCTCAAATTAGTACCTGGTGCGGTGTGTAAACATCGCCACGAGGGAGACAAAGGCGGCCGGGCGTGGTGTTGGCCACCCACCCCCTCGCGTGCCGCGCCGGCCTTCATAGGCGGTGGTGATGCTGCTGCTGCTGCTGCTACTCGCGAGAACAGCGCCTGGCCCCAACAGTTGCTGATGTGAGGCTGTACGGGGGACCTTTGTCTTTGTGTGGGGGCAGTGCCGGGACCGCCGGGCCGGGTCCTCTTCCCGGACGTGAACGCGAGCGCGGTGCTCATGGTGTGGCAGCCTCCCGCCGAGCCGAGCGGCGTCATCCTCGGTACGGCCGCCTCCGTGGGGCGCCCCCCCCCCCCCCCCACAACACCGCAACTTCACCAAGCAAAGCAGAGCAGTCCACCACAACAGACACGAGAGGCTTTTGATCATCAGCCATGGTCAGTCCACTCCCTGTCCAAGCCGCCCGCCACCGCCTCTTCCTCCTCCTCCTCCACACGACCCTGCGCTGCGGCTTGCGGCGTCTTACGCCCGCGCTGATTCCGTCGCTCCGTCTCCCCCCGGTGGACAAGCGCCGTCCCTCGGCCACCTTCCAGCGTCCACCACCGTGGGGTGGACCGGGAGCGGCCGAGCGCGTCGGCTGTTTTGACCCGCGACGGAGGAAGGACGACCGCGCGGGGACTCGTCTCATCGGCGTCTCCCCTTCCCTGTGCCCCCCCCCGCCCCCCCCCCCACGAAGGTTACAAGGTGTCCTACTGGCCCGAGTCGTCGAACCGGCGCGCTGCCATCGTGTCGGAGCTGGGCGCCGCGCCGCGCTCGTTCCGCGCCGCCGACCTCCTCCCCGAGTCGGCCTACCGCTTCCGCGTGCTGGCGCGCACGCGGAGGGGCTACGGAGAGGCCGCGGAGCTCTCCGTCATCGTCACCGCGAGCCGAGGTGAGCGGGGTGGGGGGGGGGGACACGCCACGCACGCGGCCCCCACCGCCAGGCCCGGCGGGTTGCCCCACTGTTCGTGGAGGCGTCGACGATCCGCCGTCGGCCCGCGTCGCGCGCCGACGGCGGTATGCCACGGAATTCTTCGAACGGCGCGAGACGTTTGCGAGCGTCAACCGATGAAGGCCGGCCGCCACAGCAGAGCCACACGCCCCCCCTCCCCCCCCCCCCCCGCCAGGTCGCCCCGACGCTCCCAGCCGCCCCGCGCTGACGCCGCACGCGGCCGTGACGGCGCGCGCCGTGACGCTGAGCTGGGGCGCCGGTGGGGACCACGCGGCGCCGCTCCGACACTTCACCCTCCAGACGCGCGCCACCGGCACGGTGGGCACGGGCGGCACGGGGGGCACGGGGGGCACGGGCGGCACGGGGGGCACGGGGGGCACGGGCGGACAGCGCGGGGGGGCGGCGGCGGCGGCGGCTGCGGGCCCCTCCGGCGGCGGGGCACGGGCGCCGGGCAGGGGCTGGAGGACTCACGTGGCGTGGATTCCTCCCAACCTCACCGCCTTCACCGTCACGGGGTGAGCGAGCGTGCGTGTGTGTGTGTGGGGAGCGTGCGTGTGTGTGTGTGGGGAGCGTGCGTGTGTGTGTGTGTGTGTGGGGAGCGAGTGTGCGTGTGCGTGTGTGTGTGTGGGGAGCGAGTGTGCGTGTGTGTGGGGAGCGTGCGTGTGTGTGTGTGGGGAGCGAGTGTGCGTGTGTGTGTGGGGAGCAAGTGTGCGTGTGTGTGTGTGGGGAGCGTGCGTGTGTGTGTGTGTGGGGAGCGAGTGTGCGTGTGTGTGTGGGGAGCGAGTGTGCGTGTGCGTGTGTGGGGAGCGAGCGTGCGTGTGTGTGGGGAGCGAGTGTGCGTGTTCGTGTGCGTGTGTGTGTGTGGGGAGCAAGTGTGCGTGTGTGGGGAGCGAGTGTGCGTGTGCGTGTGTGGTGAATGGGGAGCGGTACCGCTACGAACTCGGGCGGGAATCGAACTCGGGTCGCCCGAGTTCGATTCCCGCTCGTCACAGCCACCAACACCCAGTGACGATTATCTGAACCACTCCTGGACCTCCCCTAGGTCGACTCAGCCTCAAAATGAGTACCTGGTGCGGTGTGTAAACATCGCCACTGGGGAGACAAAGGCGGCCGGGCGTGGTGCTGGCTACCCACCCCCTCGTGTGCCGTGCCGGCCTTCGTAGGTGCTGCTTGCGAGCAGAACTTGCCCCAACAGTCTGTCAAGGCTGTCGGGGGGGGGGGGGGGGTGGGGGGATCTTTTTCGACATGTGTTGAGAGCGTGCGCGCGTGTCCGTGTGCGCTGCGTGCAGGCTCAGGCCGTACACGACGTTCCGTTTCCGCGTCTCGGCCACGAACGACGTCGGCGCGAGTGGCTGGAGCGAGGAGTCGGAGGAGATCGCCACGCTGCAGGCCGGTGAGCGCCCCTCCGCCCTCATCACTCGTTCCATCGTGGCCATGAGCGGGAGTCCAACTCGGCGGTCCGCCGGGTTCGCAGGGCCAAAGCGCTAACAGCTGCCGGTTACTGGACAAGGCGCGCGAGGTCTCCGCCGTGCTTGTGCCAGGCTAGGTGCGCTTTGGCTCGGTGTGCTTTTGGGTTCGTCCCGTAACGTCTCTGCCCGCTCCTCGCCTCCCGACCCCCGACCCCAGCGCCGGACAGACCCCCCAGGATCGTGTTGGTGTCGCCGCACAGCACCACGTCCGTGCTGCTCAAGTGGGAGGTAATGGAGCACTGCACCAGATCCACTTGTCTCCAGCCAGCTCCACCCACACATCGGTGGTGCACGCGCAGGCCGCCACACGCGGAGGCGCGGTGGTGCTATTGACGCGCGCGTTTGAGTGGGGTGGCAACGCGACATCTATCGAGGGCTCTTCATTGTTACTTACTCCAAACACCCCCCCCCCACCCCCCCCCGGTGCTGTCGGTTGTACCTTGGGCTCTCCTATTAACCTACCACGAGTGCGTTTAACTGTTTATTTATCATTTTAAATATTCATGCGGTTGATTTTTTTGGTAAATAGACAGAGAGGAGTGGGTGAGCAACGCATTTCCCGACGAGAGCCCCAGAGCTCATTTGCAGCAGACATTTCCCTCCTGCCTCATTAACAGGGCGCCTCGTCTCCGGGCGTCACTCATCCAGCCGCTAACAAAATAAATGAATGATTCCTCATCTCTGCCTCCTCCTCCTTGCTCCTCCGTGCTCGCTGTAAGATTCGTGGCTGTTTTCATATTTATGGTGGCAATTTGCAAGTCGGTTGGGGGGGGGGGTTGGGGTTTTGTCATTCCCAGAATCCGCGACCATCATTACCTCCTCCACTTTCACCACAAACATCATCACCTCTTCCACTCCCACCAGAACCATCATCACCTCCTCCACTCTCACCACAACCATCATCACCTCTCCACTCTCACCACAACCATCATCACCTCCTCCACTCTCACCAGAACCATCATCACCTCCTCCACTCTCACCACGACCATCATCACCTCCTCCACGCTCACCACAACCATCATCACCTCCTCCACTCTCACCACAACCATCATCACCTCTCCACTCTCACCACAACCATCATCACCTCCTCCACTCTCACCAGAACCATCATCACCTCCTCCACTCTCACCACAACCATCATCACCGCCTCCACTCTCACCACAATCATCATCACCTCCTCCACTCTCACCACAACCATCATCACCCCCTCCACTCTCACCACAACCATCATCACCTCCTCCACTCTCACCACAACCATCATCACCTCTCCACTCTCACCACAACCATCATCACCTCCTCCACGACCATCATCACCTCCTCCACGCTCACCACAACCATCATCACCTCCTCCACTCTCACCACAACCATCATCACCTCTCCACTCTCACCACAACCATCATCACCTCCTCCACTCTCACCACAACCATCATCACCTCCTCCATGCTCACCACGATCATCATCATCGCCACCACCACCGCGCTCACCTCCTCCACGCTCACCACGACCATCATCATCGCCACCACCACCGCGCTCACCTCCTCCACCCACCCCCTCCACCACCTCTTTCTCTGAACCCCCCACTCCCACCTCTGTCCGCCCGCCTGCTCCGTGCTGATGATGGCAGGGGAGGGGGGCTAGGGGTGGGGGGATTAGCACCGCGTGTTCTCGGCGCGGATCGTTGGCGTCACGCGTAATTACACGGCTCGTGGGCTCAATAGCGACGTCAATACCGCGCATCAAAGTGGGATTACAAGTTTCCAACGGTAATTATTTGTTGCGACTAATTTATCAGTTTTTTTTTTATTTGTGTCTGTTTCGCATGCTCACTCTGATACACACGCACACACGAACACACGCACACACATTGCACGAACATCATCGCACGCGCGCACACTCTCGAACTTTTGTTTGCACACCTGCACGCGCGAACGCGTGTACCTACACGCGTTCGCACACACACACACACACGTCTACACACACGTCTACACACACACGTGCACACACACACACGTGAATACACACACACGTGCACACACACACACGTGTACACACACACGTGTACACACACACGTGTACACACACGTGTACACACACGTGCACACACACAAACATGTACACACACACGTGCACACACACACACACGTGTACACACACGTGTACACACACACACGTGTACACACACACACGTGCACATACACACACGTGCACACACACGTGCACACACACACGTGTACACACACACACGTGCACACACACGTGTACACACACGTGTACACACACACACGTGTACACACACACACGTGCACACACACGCACTGGCAGCCCCCGGAGGCGGCGTCTCTGAACGGGGTGCTGCTGGGGTACCGGGTGCATTACCGCGAGGTGGCGGACGCGGCCACGCCGGCGGCGCCCAGCGCGCAGCCCTTGCAGCCGGGGGGCCACGGGGGAGGCGCCGGGGGGGGGCACGGAGGAGGCGCGGGGGGGGCGCACGCCCAGAGCGCGCTGGCCATCAACCCCTCGCCTATGCAGGCGCAGCTGCTGTGTGAGGAGGCAGCGCGCTCCTCGCCGCACGCTCACGACACCGCGCTCGCCAGGCGCCACACTCGGCCCGCACACACACACACAGGACGCACACACACATACACAGGACGCACACACACACACACAGGATGCACACACACACACAGGATGCACACACACAGGATGCACACACACAGGACGGACACACACAGGATGCACACACACACAGGATGCACACACACACAGAACGGACACACACAGGACGCACACACACAGGATGCACACACACACAGGACGCACACACACAGGATGCACACACACAGGATGCACACACACAGGACGGACACACACAGGATGCACACACAGGATGCACACACACACACAGGACGCACACACACACACAGGACGGACACACATACAGGATGCACGCACATACAGAGTGCACACACACACACAGGATGCACACACACACAGGATGGACACACACACACAGAGGATGCACACACACACAGGATGCACACACACAGGATGCACACACACAGGATGCACACACACAGGATGCACACACACACACACGATGCACACACAGGATACACACACACACAGAATACACACACACAGGATGCACACACACAGCGGCACACACACACAGTATGCACACACACTGGATGCACACACACACACAGGATGCACACACACAGGACACACACACAGGATGCACACACACAGGACACAGACACAGGATGCACACACACACAGGATGCACACACAGGATGCACACACACAGGATGCACACACACACAGGATGCACACACACAGGACACACACACACACAGGATGCACACACACACACAGGATGCACACACACACACAGGATGCACACACACACACAGGATGCACACACACACAGGATGCACACACACTGGATGCACACACACAGGGTGCACACACACAGGATGCAGACACACACAGGATGCACACACACAGGATGCACACACACAGGATGCACACACACACACAGGATGCACACACACACAGGATGCACACACAAACCTCGGCTATAATCACCAAACACACCACGAAACACTCGCACAAACACTAAGCTACACGGAGTTTAAGATCCCCCCCCCCCGTATAGCCCGTAACAGACTGCAGGGACAATTGCTGTCAGCAAGTAACACGACGGGAGTGATGTAGCCAGCACCTCGCCCGGTCGCATTGTGTCTCCCCAATAGCGATGTTGACACATCGCACCAGATACTGATTTGAGGCCGAGTCCACCTACGGGAGGCCCACATACTCTCACAAACTTACACAACGCGCGACAGATCACGCACACGCCCCGATCGCAGTAAGATGGTGATGATGATGATGATGACGGCGTCTGAGACAAATCCCCGTGCCCTGACCCTCGTCTCTCTCTTTGCTCTCCCCGCAGCAAAGTACGACACGAAGATCCTGAACAACTCCTCCATGCGGCGATACGAGCTCTCTCGTACGTGCCACGCGCACGCCACAGACACGTGCGTCGTCGTCGTCATCATCATCGTCATCCCCCAATTGCTCTCCGCTCTTCACGACTCATCAGACTTCATTAGCGCAAAGAGCTCAGGGTGTTGTGCCTTGGATGGTCATTAAGCGACACGGTCGCGCGCGCGTGTGTGCGCGTGTGTGGTAGAGTAGCTGCGCTATGAACCCGGCGGCCCGAGTTCGATTCCTGCTCACGACCAACACTCAGTGACGATTATCTGAACCGGTCCTGGGCCTCCGCCGAGGTCGACTCAGCCTCAAATGAGTACCCGGTGCGGTGTGTTAACATCGACACTGGGGAGGCAAAGGCGGCCGGGCGTGGTGCTGGCCACCCACCCCCTCGCGTGCCGTAGCCGGCCTTCGTAGGCGCTACTCGCAAACAGCACTTGCCCCAACAGTCTCTTAAGGCTATGCGGGAGGAGCGGGGGAGGGTAGATCTTTGTTGTTTTCGAGGAGCGTGCACGTGTTGCGTGTGTGCTGCCCTGCGTCTCCCGAGGTGCACGCGCGCGCGTGCGAGATGAATGCACTGCGAGCGTGGGCTGTGAGCGGCAGTGCGGAAATGGAACCGGGTTGCCCAAGGCCGTGGGTTTGGCAGAAAAAACTCTTCGTGCTCCTGCTCGCCCCCCCCCCCTCCTCCTCCTCCGTGACTCCCTGCACACCCAGCAGGCATTGTGTTCCTCTTGCCTGCGCCCGTGCTTGATATCAGACTTCAAATGAGCAGCGCTGGGCAGCCGTGTCAGACCAAAGCGAATAAAGCACGAGAAGAATTATGCGCGCGCGTGTGTGGTGTGTGTGGTGTTGCCGTGTTGATTTGTGTGTGTGTGGTGTTGCCGTGTTGATTTGTGTGTGTGTGGTGTTGCCGTGTTGATTTGTGTGTGTGTGGTGTTGCCGTGTTGATTTGTGTGTGTGTGTGTGGTGTTGCCGTGTTGATTTGTGTGTGTGTGGTGTTGCCGTGTTGATTTGTGTGTGTGTGGTGTTGCCGTGTTGATTTGTGTGTGTGGTGTTGCCTTTTGTGTGTGTGTGTTGCCGTGTGGATATGCTTGTGTGTGTGTGTTACCGTGTGGATCTGTGTGTGTGTGTGTGGTGTTACCGTGTGGATATGTGTGTGTGTGGTGTTACCGTGTGGATCTGTGTGTGTGTGTTACCGTGTGGATCTGTGTGTGTGTGTTGCCGTGTGGATCTGTGTGTGTGTTGCCGTGTGGATCTGTGTGTGTGGTGTTACCGTGTGGATCTGTGTGTGTGTGTTGCCGTGTGGATCTCTGTGTGTGTTACCGTGTGGATCTGTGTGTTTGTGTTACCGTGTGGATCTGTGTGTGTGTTACCGTGTGGATCTGTGTGTGTGTTACCGTGTGGATCTGTGTGTGTTACCGTGTGGATCTGTGTGTGTGTGTGTTGCCGTGTGGATCTGTGTGTGTGTTGCCGTGTGGATCTGTGTGTGTGTTGCCGTGTGGATCTGTGTGTGTGTGTTACCGTGTGGATATGTGTGTGTGTGTTACCGTGTGGATCTGTGTGTGTGTTACCGTGTGGATCTGTGTGTGTGTTACCGTGTGGATCTGTGTGTTTGTTGCCGTGTGGATCTTTGTGTGTGTGTATATATGGGTGTGTTGGGCAGCGGTAGTGTAGTGGTTAGTGCGTTGCGTTACAAACCCAGCGACTCGAGTTCGATTCCCGCTCACGGCCAACGCCAGTGACGATTATCTGAATCGGTCCCGGGCCTCCTCTAGGTCAACTCAGCCTCAAATGAGTATCTGGTGCGATGTGTAAACATCGCCACTCAGGAAACACAGGCGGCCGGGCGTGGTGCTGGCCACCCACCCCCTCGTGTGCTGTGCAGGCCTTCACAGGTGCTGCTCTCTAACTGCACTTGCCCCAACAGTCCGTTAAGGCTGCACGGGGGGAATCTTTGTCTTTGTGCTCACTGTGTGTGTGTGCCTCTGCGTGTGCTCAGAACTCACGAAGTTTCGCCGCTACGAGGTGATCGTCAGCGCCTACAACGCCGCGGGGGAAGGACCCCCCACGGCCCCCCTCCAGGTGTACGTGGGGGAAGCAGGTAACCCCCACCGCACCTCATTAAACACACACAGATGACGGCCCTCCGTATAGCCTACACATACCGTTTGGGCAAGTGCACCGATTAAGGCTGGCACGATGCATGAGGTGTTGGTGTAGCCAGCTCCACGCCCGGCCGTCTTTGTCTCCCCAAAGCCGACGTTTGCGCACGCCACCGGTTGCTCATTTGGGGCTGAGTCGATCGTGTGGCCGCCCGGGTGGTTCGGCTCTTCGTCACCGAATGTTGGGCGCGAGCGGGGATCGAACTCGCGTCCACGGGGTGCGTTGCGTACACGTGCGCTGACAAAGACACAATCCTGCAGCCTTGACGGACTGTTGGGGCAAGTGCTGTTCGTGAGCACCTGCAGAGGTTAGCACGGGTGGGTGGCCAGCGCCACATCCGGCGATGTTTGCACATTGCGCCAGGTACAGCGCTTATTTGAGGCCGAGTCGACCTAGGGGAAGTCCAGGACCGGTTCAGAGAATCGTCACTGGTGTGTTGGCCGTGAGCGAGAATCGAACTCGGGTAACCGGGTTCGTAGCGCAGCACACTAACAGCTACACCACTGCTCCCCACACTAACAAATACAAACCAAGACAAAGATCCCCCGTATAGCATGCACACACTTTGCCCATGTGCGTAACTGACCGATTGTTTTAACGTTTCACGATTTTCCTTTTCCCGGTTGGGCCACACAAGTGCCCTCGGCGCCCCCCCAGAACTTAGTGGTACGGCCCACGAGCTCCACTCAGCTGGAGGTGACGTGGGACCCCCCTCCTGCTGGAGCGCACAATGGAATCATCCAGGGGTACAAGGTGAGTGGCTGACCTTGACCTCCCGCGGTCAGGGTTTCACTTGTGTTTTGCTTAGCCAGGGGAGAACTAGAAAGTGACCTGGATCACGAAATTGATCAATGCAATCGCGCCACGGAAGGAAATCTTAAACAGTGCACGGTCACAATGTTCAATAAATGAAATCAACAACACAAGTTGGATTCTCGGACACCAAACTTTTAAAATCCATCCGTGGTCAAATGAAGTTACGGAAACATGAGCATAGATCGCTGGCCATTATTGCACGAGTATGCAAGTTGGCATGTTGATGTTAGAGAGGCCACGTCGAGTCGATGGGGGTGGTAGAGTGCGTGCCACCATCACTTGCGTCTACGTGTGTGAGCGCGCGATTCGCTGAGCTTGTGAGTGGTGGTGAGTGCGTGTTTGCGCGTGTGTGTGTCTGTGTGTGTCTGATGCGATGGGGCGTGCGCGTGCGCCTTCGTAGGCGCGCCGTGCCGGAATTCACAATTCGCTCGCTAACGGCATTTGCCCCGACAACCTGTTGAAGATCACACGCGGTGGCTGGGAGGTGGAGGTGGTGGTGGTGGGGGGGGGGGAATGTTTGACTGTGTACCTCTGCGGGCCTCCTGTGTAGGTGTACTACAGCGACGCGGGGCGGCGCGAGGCCGGCGGCGCCGCCGTGCAGGAGAGCGCCCGAACGCTCTTCCTCCCCGAGACGAGTGTGCGCTTGCGCAACCTCACGGGCTACACGGCCTACGCTGTGGCCGTGTGCGCCTACAACTCGGCCGGCGAGGGGCCCCGCACGGGGCCCGTCACGGCCCGCACGCTCGCCGCTGGTGAGCCCCAAACTCGCCCCGGTGCCGCTCGCTCGCTCGCTCGCACGCTCGCTCGTGCGGGCTGTCGGGGCCAGTGTTGTCAGCGAGCAGCACCGATGAAGGCTGTAAACGACGCGCGCCTCTGAAGGGGTGGTTGTGGTCTGAGCCACGACCGGCCGGACGCCTTTGTCTCCCCACCCACCACCCTCCAATGCTGATGCTTACACACTCGCACCAGGTGCACTGACCACCGTGCCACCGTTCCCCACACCCACGCAAGAACGCACGCACTCATCCGTCACTCGTGCACCCACCCACACCCTCACCGCACACGCCTCTCCTCCGCCCCTAAGCGGGGTTGAGCCTGGTTTAGTGCGTGGATGGGAGACCTGCACCTGCACCAGGGCTTGCCAGGTGCTGTAGGCGCGCGGTGTTCAGGCGGTGGCGGTGGTGAGCGTCATCCCCTTGTACGGAGCAGCGTGGTGCCTGGGTGTTCTTCGGGGGCTCTGCGGTTGCCTCCCACGCGAAGCTGAACTCTCATTAATCGCGCAATTCATGGCCAGACGAGCAGATTTAGCGGTGGCCCCACTGAATACGAGTGTCGGGCCTCGGTGAGGCATTTCTGGGTAAATGATTTCCATTAGCTGTTAACAGGGCCCGGAGCAACGGGTACAGCGGAGATAACAGGCTGAGTGATATTGAAGCCGGCAACCTGAGTCGGATTGATTGATTTAGTGCAAGGATCTCAGCATCCCAAAGCGCATTGCTTTGCATCTCAATCATTCAATTTCCCCATTATAATTGCCTCTTCCCCTCTAGTGGTGGGAGTTGTGGTGGTGGTGCTCGCCTGTGCGGCACGTGGCCTGCAATCCAGCACTGTGGAGGCAACTAGGGTTGGTGGATCGCCACGTGAATGTTGTCGCGACGCTCCCTTTGTGTGGGGAGTCGAGGAGGAGCCGGACCCTGGCCGCTGTCGGGAGAAGGAAGTTCGGAAAAATAAAAACAAATGTGGCCTTCCACATGCTCTGTCTGCATGGGATAGAGCGTTTCCCTCTCGCACGCGTGGGGTTTTCTCCAGGTGTTCCGGTTTACACCCAAACGTGAGCACTCATTCATTGTGCTGATAACACGTTAACATATTTGTAGGACCGCGAAGCTTGGGCAATTGTTGGTCGCGCAGGCCGCCCAGCGCGTGGCTGCCGCTACTGCTGCTGCCTCACCGCCTCTGAGTGGTCCTCTCTCTCTCTCTACGAGAGAGTGAGGAGCGGAGTGCTACAAGTTGACATTGGCATATTGGAAAAAAATGCCCTCGTCATCAGGCAGTGGAGCGGCTGTCCACGTAAGAAGCGCGGCACAGCGCTTTCTCTCCTCGCCTCACCCCCTGCGCGCGCCGCCCGTTCCGTGCTTGCCCGCCCCCCTCCTCCCCCGTGCCCACGGAGGGGGTCCCGTCCCCCGTGGGGCCCGTGCCGTCACGCCGAATGAAATCGCGAATCGCCGACGCCGGCCCCGCTAAGCGCTTGGCGGCGGTCGGCCCTGCGGCGCTCGTGAAATGTTTAAGCGGCCCGAGGGCACCACCGCTGGGGGCGAGGGCGGTTTCCCCCCCCCCCCGCCCCCCACGCCCCCCCACGCCCCCCCACGCCCCCCCCCCCCCCCTCGTCGTGCTCCCATCCACGGCGAGCACGACCCGGTCCTCACTGACTCAAGGTTCCTGGTGAGCCAGTGACTGGTTCCTGGTGAGCCAGTGACTGGTTCCTGGTGAGCCAGTGACTGGTTCCTGGTGAGCCAGTGACTGGTTCCTGGTGAGCCAGTGACTGGTTCCTGGTGAGCCAGTGACTGGTTCCTGATGAGCCAGTGACTGGTCCCCGGTGAGCCAGTGACTGGTCCCCGGTGAGCCAGTGACTGGTTCCTGGTGAGCCAGTGACTGGTTCCTGGTGAGCCAGTGACTGGTTCCTGGTGAGCCAGTGACTGGTTCCTGGTGAGCCAGTGACTGGTTCCTGGTGAGCCAGTGACTGGTTCCTAATGAGCCAGTGACTGGTCCCCGGTGAGCCAGTGACTGGTTCCTGATGAGCCAGTGACTGGTTCCTGATGAGCCAGTGACTGGTCCCCGGTGAGCCAGTGACTGGTCCCCGGTGAGCCAGTGACTGGTTCCTGATGAGCCAGTGACTGGTTCCTGATGAGCCAGTGACTGGTCCCCGGTGAGCCAGTGACTGGTTCCTGGTGAGCCAGTGACTGGTTCCTGGTGAGCCAGTGACTGGTTCCTGGTGAGCCAGTGACTGGTTCCTGGTGAGCCAGTGACTGGTTCCTGGTGACTTAATGACCATGCACCTGGGGACTCAAGGTCCCTGGTTCCTATAGACTGGTCGTGTGACCCCCCCTCTGCGCGGTCCTAGTGCAGTGCGCCGACCCCCCCCCCCCCCATGTGCCACGCGCACGCCGTGCACAAGGCGGGGCCCTCCACCCCCCCGACAGCGAGTTGAGGGGGGGGGGGGCGTTGCATTTTGTATTTCCCTGCGAGCGACGCCAGGGGCCGTGTTCCGTTCTCAGCGTGAGCTGTGCCAAACTCGGCCAGCCAGTGATGGGCGCACTCACACCCTGCAGCACACACTCACACCCTGCAGCACACACTCACACCCTGCAGCACACACTCACACCCTGCAGCACACACTCACACCATGCAGCACACACTCACACCCTGCAGCACACACTCACACCATGTAGCACACACTCACACCATGTAGCACCCACTCACAACCTGCAGCACACACTCACACCATGTAGCACACACTCACACCATGTAGCACACACTCACACCCTGCAGCACACACACCATGTAGCACACACTCACACCATGTAGCACACACTCACACCCTGCAGCACACACTCACACCCTGCAGCACACACTCACATCCTGCAGCACACACTCACACCCTGCAGCACACACTCACACCATGTAGCACACACACCATGTAGCACACACTCACACCATGTAGCACCCACTCACAACCTGCAGCACACACTCACACCATGTAGCACACACTCACACCATGTAGCACACACTCACACCCTGCAGCACACACTCACACCCTGCAGCACACACTCACACCCTGCAGCACACACTCACACCCTGCAGCACACACTCACACCATGTAGCACACACACCATGTAGCACACACTCACACCATGTAGCACACACTCACACCCTGCAGCACACACTCACACCATGTAGCACACACTCACACCATGTAGCACACACTCACACCCTGCAGCACACACTCACACCATGTAGCTCACACTCACACCATGTAGCACACACTCACACCATGTAGCACACACACCATGTAGCACACACTCACACCATGTAGCACACACTCACACCATGTAGCACACACTCACACCATGTAGCACACACTCACACCATGTAGCACACACTCACACCCTGTAGCACACACTCACACCATGTAGCACACACTCACCCCATGTAGCACACACTCACACCCTGTAGCACACACTCACACCATGTAGCTCACACTCACACCATGTAGCACACACTCACACCATGCAGCACACACACCATGTAGCACACACTCACACCATGTAGCACACACTCACACCATGTAGCACACACTCACACCATGTAGCACACACTCACACCCTGCAGCACACACACCCTGCAGCACACACTCAAACCATGTAGCACACACACCATGTAGCACACACTCACACCATGTAGCACACACTCACACCATGTAGCACACACTCACACCATGTAGCACACACTCACACCCTGTAGCACACACTCACACCATGTAGCACACACTCACACCCTACAACACACATGCACATATTCTGCACCCCACATACAACCTTGTGCAATGTGTATGAAACATCAGTATTGGGGAGACAAAGGCGGCCGGGCGTGGTGTTGCAATGCCGGCCATCTGTAGGTGCTACGCGCTCCACGGAGGATCCTTGTCTTGGTGTGCTGGAGGGAAGGAGGTGTTGTGAACATTTAACATGCATGCGCCAAGTGCGCGGATTCGAGTGTTGCCAGCGGCTGAGAGTTGCGCGTGCGTGCGTGCGTGTGCGTACGCGTGCGTGTGCGTGCGTGCGCGCGCGTGCGTGCGTGCGTGTGCGTGCGTTTGCGTGCATGCGTGCGTGCGTGTGCGTGCGTGTGCGTGCGTGCGTGCGCGCGCCTGCGTGCGTGCGTTCGCGTGCGTGCGTGCGCGTGCGTGCCCGCCTCCTTGGCGTTGCCTCCACGTCCTGCGCGCCCTGTCCGGGTCGCGCTGCGTGGGCTTGCGACGCTCAGCAAGGTCTCTTTAATGAGCGAGCGGGCGCGGTGCGGAACACGAGATAATGCCCCCCCCCCAATCCCCCCCAAACTCCCCTCCCCCAAACTCCCCTCTTCCCACCTCCCCTCCTCCCTCCCCGCCAGCACCGGTTGGCAGATCAGATGGCGATCGTCATGCTGTGCCGATGATGATGATGGTGTTGGTGTTGTTGTTGTTGCACGTGGACAGGAGTCGTCCAACGGAGACGGCTCTGTGGGTGCGCAGGGTAGCGCGGTGCAGCACGCTAACCTCTCACACACTCACACTCACCCAATGATACACGTACACTCACACCCAACTCGCGCGCGCACTCACACGCACACACACACTCACGCACCCACACTCGCACGCACGCACACACTCACGCACCCACACTCACGCACGCACACACTCACGCACGCACACACTCACACACTCACACACACTCACACACACGCACACACACACTCACACACACTCACACACACACACTCACGCACACACACACTCACACACACACTCACGCACGCACAGCCCCCTCCGCGCCCTCGTTCCTCAGGTTCTCGGACGTGACCTCGACGTCGCTGAACGTGACCTGGGGGCCTCCCGCGCAGCCCAACGGGGTTCTGTCCGGGTACCGCCTCGTCTACAAACCCTCGCTGCCCGTGCACGGTGGGCAGCCCCCCACCCCTCAACACCCCCTCCACCCAACCCCCTCCACCCCAACCCCCCTCCCCCCAACCCCCCCCCTCCCCCCAACCCCCCTCCCCCCCAACCCCCCTCCCCCCCAACCCCCCTCCCCTCCAACCCCCCTCCCCCCAACCCCCCTCCCCTCCAACCCTCCTCCCCCCCCCAACCCCCCTCCCCCAATCCTTCTCTACCCCCAACCCCCCTCCCCCCCAACCCCCCTCCCCTCCAACCCCCCTCCCCCCCAACCCTTCACTACCCCCACCCCCCTCCCCCAATCCTTCTCTACCCCCAACCCCATCCCCCCCCCCAACCCCCCTCCCCCAACCCCCTCCCCCCCAACCCCCCTCCCCTCCAACCCCCTCCCCTCCAACCCCCCTCCCCCAACCCCCCTCCCCCCCAACCCTTCACTACCCCCCACCCCCCTCCCCCAATCCTTCTCTACCCCCAACCCCATCCCCCCCCAACCCCCCTCCCCCCCAACCCCCCTCCCCCCCAACCCCCCTCCCCCCAACCCCCCTCCCCTCCAACCCCCCTCCCCCCAACCCCCCTCCCCTCCAACCCTCCTCCCCCCCCCCAACCCCCCTCCCCCAATCCTTCTCTACCCCCAACCCCCCTCCCCCCCAACCCCCCTCCCCTCCAACCCCCCTCCCCCCCAACCCTTCACTACCCCCACCCCCCTCCCCCAATCCTTCTCTACCCCCAACCCCATCCCCCCCCCCCAACCCCCCTCCCCCCCAACCCCCCTCCCCCCCAACCCCCCCCCCTCCCCTCCAACCCCCCTCCCCTCCAACCCCCCTCCCCCCCCAACCCTTCACTACCCCCCACCCCCCTCCCCCAATCCTTCTCTACCCCCAACCCCATCCCCCCCCAACCCCCCTCCCCCCCAACCCCCCCTCCCCCCCAACCCCCCTCCCCTCCAACCCCCCTCCCCTCCAACCCCCCTCCCCCCAACCCCCCTCCCCCCCAACCCTTCACTACCCCCCACCCCCCTCCCCCAATCCTTCTCTACCCCCATCCCCCCCCAACCCCCCTCCCCCCAACCCCCCTCCCCCTCAACCCCCCTCCCCTCCAACCCCCCTCCCCTCCAACCCCCCTCCCCCCAACCCCCCTCCCCCCCAACCCTTCACTACCCCCCACCCCCCTCCCCCAATCCTTCTCTACCCCCAACCCCATTCCCCCCCGAACCCCCCTCCCCCCCAAACCCCCCTCCCCCCAAACCCCACAATACTTCTCCCCCCCAACCCCCCTCCTGGTGGAGCGCACGGGTGAGGAGTGTGGTGAGTGTGGTGGTGGTGGTGGTGATTAGGTCGTGTTGGTCTGCACGAGTGAGGGGTGTGGTGAGTGCGTGGTGGTAGTGGTGGTGTGCACGGGTGAGGAATGTGGTGAGTGTGGTGGTGGTGGTGTGCACGGGTGAGGAATGTGGTGAGTGTGGTGGTGGTGTGCACGGGTGAGGAATGTGGTGAGTGTGGTGGTGGTGGTGGTGTGCACAGGTGAGGAATGTGGTGAGTGTGGTGGTGGTGGTGGTGTGCACGGGTGAGGAATGTGGTGAGTGTGGTGGTGGTGTGCACGGGTGAGGAATGTGGTGAGTGTGGTGGTGGTGGTGGTGGTGTGCACGGGTGAGAAGTGTGGTGAGTGTGGTGGTGGTGTGCACGGGTGAGAAGTGTGGTGAGTGCGTGGTGGTGGTGGTGTGCACGGGTGAGGAATGTGGTGAGTGTGGTGGTGGTGGTGGTGGTGTGCACGGGTGAGAAGTGTGGTGAGTGTGGTGGTGGTGGTGTGCACGGGTGAGAAGTGTGGTGAGTGCGTGGTGGTGGTGGTGTGCACGGGTGAGGAATGTGGTGAGTGTGGTGGTGGTGGTGGTGGTGGTGTGCACGGGTGAGAAGTGTGGTGAGTGTGGTGGTGGTGGTGTGCACGGGTGAGAAGTGTGGTGAGTGCGTGGTGGTGGTGGTGTGCACGGGTGAGGAATGTGGTGAGTGTGGTGGTGGTGGTGGTGGTGTGCACGGGTGAGAAGTGTGGTGAGTGCGTGGTGGTGGTTGTCGCGATCGCGCGGGTGAGCGTTCGCGGTGAGCGTGCGGTGGCCGGCGGTGGTGAGCGCGTGTGTGGGTTGCGGTGCCGCGCAGGGGTGAGTAAAATCGTGAGTGTGGAGGTGAGGGCCGACGCTCCGCGCTGGCTCCGCGTCAAGGACCTGGCCCCCGCGCTGCCCTTCCAGTTCCGTGTGCGCGCGCGAACCTTCGCGTTCGGGCCCGAGCTCGAGGCCAACGTGAGCACGGCGCCGGCACACGGTGGGTGTACACGCACACTCACGTGTACTCACACTCACGTGTACTCACACACACTCACACGTGTACTCACACTCACACGTGTACTCACACACTCACGTGTACTCACACTCACGTGTACTCACACACACACACGCTCACGTGTACTCACACTCACGTGTACTCACACTCACACGTGTACTCACACTCACACACTCACGTGTACTCACACTCACACATGTACTCATACTCACACACTCACGTGTACTCACACGTGTACTCACACACTCACGTGTACTCACACGTGTACTCACACTCACACACTCACGTGTACTCACACACACTCACGTGTACTCACACACACACACTCACGTGTACTCACACTCACACACACACTCACCTCTACTCACACTCACGTGTACTCACACTCGTGTACTCACACTCTCACGCGTACTGGCGTGTACGCAAGTGTAATTACCGGTTACACTCACTCACCTCTACTCACACTCAATCACGACAGAGGCGGCCGGGCGTGGTGCCGGCCACCATACCCCCCCCCCGCACCCCGCCGTGCACCGTGCCGACCTTCACAGAGGTTGCTGCTACTGGCTTACAGCACTTGCCCCGACAGTCTATCAAAGGCTACACCGGGGGGGGTGGGGTCTTTGTCTTTGCAGGCGCCCCCGGGCCCCCGGGCTCCCCCGTGGTGTACCAGTACGGCCACGAGGTCCACCTGCAGTGGAGTCACGGCGACCCGGGCCTGGCCCCCGTCACCGGCTACCTGGTGGAGGCCCGACCCTCGGGTACGTACGGAGCAGGAGGAGGAGCAGGAGGAGGAGGAGAGGCTTTGCGGAGGCCCCAGTGTGGTTCGAGGCCAGGGCGGTCCTCCACGTCTGTCGTGGTAATAGTCGCTGTCCGTCCGCCACGGCGGAGGTGTATCGGGAATTTCAACGGGACCGACATCTCAGCTTCGTTGACCCTGGTCAAGGCCTACGATACCATCAAGAGCCCACGGCTTTGCGTTCTTCGTGCTTTGGGGGGGGGGGGCGGGGGGGGGAGGTCCCTTGCCCTCTGCTCGTGATCAATACGGACCTTCATGATGATGGGCAGGCCCGGTTGCGAGCTGCGTGGCTGGGAGTCGGAACCATTCCCTGTTCACGTTGGGGTGCGACAGGGACGTCCCTCGGCTCGTGTACTTGTTAACATACGACTTGACCGTGTAGTTCGATACAAATTTCCATGGCTGTACCGGAGGAATATATCCATCTGGTGCAGGTACAATGGGAGGCTGATCGATGCCGTGTGCGGTCAAGGGATGGCTCCCTATTTTACTCCCCTCCGTGCGCTCTCTCCGCTCCAGTAACCATGGCTTTCTGTTGAATCGCCCGAGCAACTCTGCTCGGTGGAAGGTCACTCTCACTTCTCTGCTGCCCCCACTGCCTGGAGCTCCCTTCCACACCCCCCCCCCCCATCGCCCCCCGCCACAACCAACACGGCCCAACGGCAGCGCTAGATTCGCCGCTTGTAACAGAGCTTCACGGTTCGAATCGGGCGGCCGGCCCCGAGTCATTACTGCTGGCTCAGTCACCGTGGCAATTCCACGACAGCAGGCGCCGTCTTGCTTCGCCTTGGCAGTGGAGACGTTAAAGACCCCCGTGGCGTCATTCGCAAGAGTCGACCATCATCTGCCCCAGGCGCGACAGTCCACGTCTTTGTTTTACTCGTTTGGAATCTACACGGATCAATCATCGCCCCCACCCCCACCCCGAACCTACCGCAAACGAAAAACTTTGGCAGGACCCTCCTCAAACAAATTGTCACGAGACTCGGCGAATCTTTTATGGATCAACAGGCGAAGTCGTCGGTTTAACACGAAGTAGGCTTTCGTGGCCAATAGTATCCACAATAGTGGGGTGTTTTTTTTGTTTGTTAGATTGCGTAAATTTACACGACCTAACCCAAAAGACCTCTTATTAAGCGAAGTAGAAGTAGTAATAACTAATAATGATGATAATAATAATAACAGCCGTGCTGTGGAATCAGTTGCCCCAGTTTAAGGCCAGGTCCCAGAGGCCTTTCCTCTTCGCCCTGCTAGTGACCGACTGCCTCTCTCCCACGCGACCTAACCCCAAAAACAACGTGGTTATGCATCGGTCGCGAAAGTCTACGACGTGTTATACTGCCAAACTCTCTCTCTCTCTGTACCAGTGGTTCTTCCTCTTCTTACCCTGGGGTGCACGCACCCACTGGGGCTGCGAGACGCCCTTTCTGGGGGGGGGTGCGAGACGTGGCCAGGTTTTTTTTGTCGAAGGTTAAACCGTCGAAAACACAAATTAAGGAAGGGGCACGTAAGTCACAACTAAACTTCGTTCCATCAAACCCCTGTGTATGTATCAACATCATGACATTGTTTTTTAACGACCGGGAACCCAAGGGGTGTTGTGCAAGGCTGCAGCAAAAAGTTAAGAAGCTCCGGCACCTGCGCAACAAGCGAGTCCGCCGTGTCCCCGTACGGACGCCGGCCGAGAAGCAGCGCTCCCCTTTCTTCACGCGCCCCGTAAATCCACGCCACCCCTCTCCCTTGTGCGTGCCGGCTGCCGGGCCTCAGACGACGGCCTGTGGGACGTCCTGGCCAAGGACATCCCCCGCGAGGCGACGTCGCACTCACTGCGCCCCGGTTTGCTCCGCCGGGGCCTCACGTACACCTTCCGCATGTCGGCCGTGAACCGCTACGGATCGGGGGCGCCGGGGCCTCCCTCGCAGCCCCTCACCAGTGAGCGCAGCCTCCCACCAGCAGCACCACCAGCAGCACCACCAGCAGCACCAGCACCAGCAGCACTACCAGCACCATAAACCAGCAGCACCACCAGCACCACCACCAGCAGCACCACCACCACCACCAGCAGCACCAGCACCAGCAGCACCAGCAGCACCACCAGCACCACCACCAGCAGCACCACCAGCAGCACCAGCACCACCACCAGAACCAGCAGCACCACCACCAGCAGCACCACCAGCAGTACCACCAGCACCACCACCAGCAGCACCAGCACCACCACCACCAGCACCACCAGCACCAGCACCACTACCACCAGCAGCACCACCAGCAGCACCAGCACCACCACCAGCACCACCACCACCAGCTGCACCACCACCAGTACCAGCAGCACCACCAGCAGCAACACCACCACCAGCACCACCACCAGCAGCAGCACCACCAGCAGTCCCACCACCACCAGCAGTACCACCACCAGCACCACCACCAGCGGCACTACCACCACCAGCACTGACGTCATGATCGTCGTCATTATCGTGATCATCGTCATGTCCCGTGGTCATCATCGTCGTTGACGTCACCCGTCAAGAATCACCGATCGCTTCACCATCACCGTCACCAATCACGAATCCACAGCCTCACCCGCGCTTAAAACCACACAGGGTGACGAGAGACCATCTGCTGTACCCCCACCCCCTGCCACCCCCCCCCCCTGCCACCCCCCCCTGCCACCTCCAGCGCACCTGGAAGCGGCGTTCTACGACGAGTGGTGGTTCCTGGTGGTGGTGGCGCTCAGCGGCCTCCTCCTCATCCTCCTCCTCGTCTTTGTCCTCGTCGTGCGTGGCCAGCGCCAGCGGCATAAGCGCAGGGCGCACTCCGGTGACCCACGCCAGCTCCGCATCGCCGCCAACATCATCATCACCGTTAACATCATCATCATCACCGTTAACATCATCATCATCACCGTTAACATCATCATCATCACCGTTAACATCATCATCATCACCGTTAACATCATCATCATCACCGTTAACAACATCATCACCGTTAACATCATCCACGTCACCGTTAACATCATCATCATCACCGTTAACATCATCATCACCGTTAACATCATCATCACCGTTAACATCATCATCATCACCGTTAACATCATCATCATCACCGTTAACATCATCATCATCACCGCCAACACCATCATCACCGTTAACATCATCCACGTCACCGCTAACATCATCATCACCGTTAACACCATCATCATCACCGTTAACATCATCATCACCGTTAACATCATCATCATCACCGTTAACATCATCATCACCGTTAACATCATCCACGTCACCGTTAACATCATCATCATCATCACCGTTAACATCATCATCACCGTTAACATCATCATCACCGTTAACATCATCATCATCACCGTTAACATCATCATCATCATCACCGTTAACATCATCATCACCGTTAACATCATCCACGTCACCGTTAACATCATCATCATCATCACCGTTAACATTATCATCACCGTTAACATCATCATCACCGTTAACATCATCATCATCACCGTTAACATCATCATCATCATCACCGTTAACATCATCATCACCGTTAACATCATCATCATCACCGTTAACAACATCATCACCGTTAACATCATCCACGTCACCGCTAACATCATCATCACCGTTAACATCATCATCACCGTTAACATCATCATCACCGTTAACATCATCATCATCACCGTTAACAACATCATCACCGTTAACATCATCCACGTCACCGTTAACATCATCATCACCGTTAACATCATCATCACCGTTAACATCATCATCACCGTTAACATCATCATCATCATCACCGTTAACATCATCATCGCCGCCAACACCATCATCACCGTTAACATCATCATCATCACCGTTAACAACATCATCACCGTTAACATCATCCACGTCACCGTTAACATCATCATCACCGTTAACATCATCATCACCGTTAACATCATCATCACCGTTAACATCATCATCATCATCACCGTTAACATCATCATCATCGCCGCCAACACCATCATCACCGTTAACATCATCATCATCATCACCGTTAACATCATCATCACCGTTAACATCATCATCATCACCGTTACATCATCCACGTCACCGTTAACATCATCGTCGACATCATCATCATCGTCGTAAACGTCATCGTCGTCGACATCGTCGTCCAACATTGTCCACATCGTTAACATCTTCGTAAACCCATCCACATGACCGTTAACATAATAGTCAACTTCATCATCATCATCATCGTTAACATCATTGTCGTCAACATCATCCACATCATCGTTAACATCATCCACATCATCGTCAACATCATCATCGTGAACATCATCGTCATCATCCACAATGTCGCCATCACCATCATCACTATCCCCCTGCCCCTCGTGACCCCGTGACCCCAGGAGCGGTGGTGAAGGGCGGCACGCTGGGGAATCAGGAGATGGTGAGCCTGGACGAGCGCTTCGCTGCGAGCCTGGAGCTCAGCGAGCGGCGCCTTCCCGTCAAGAACACGTTCTGCCACCCCAACGGAGCGCCCTCCAGGTGACCCGACCACAGCCGAACACTCACCCGCACACTCACACACTCACCCGCACACTCACCTGTACACTCACCTGTACACTCACCCGCACACTCACACAATCACCGGTACACTCACCTGTACACTCACCCATACACTCACCCGCACACTCACACGCTCACCAGTACACTCACCCGTACACTCACCCGCACACTCACACACTCACCCGCACACTCACCTGTACACTCACCTGTACACTCACCCGCACACTCACACAATCACCGGTGCACTCACCTGTACACTCACCCATACACTCACCCGCACACTCACACACTCACCAGTACACTCACCCGTACACTCACCCGCACACTCACCCGCACACTCACCGGTACACTCACCTGTACACTCACCCATACACTCACCCGCACACTCACACACTCACCAGTACACTCATCCGTACACTCACGCACTGGGTAAGTGGGTGGGTGGACTGTTACGTTGCAATTATGGCTTTATTTTTTGGTGATTTCGAAAACGTTTTTTTGGTTTGGACATGTTTGTTTTGTTGTAGTACGGAGGTAGACTGACGGCCTTAATCTAAGTTTTCTTGTGGTGGTTGTTGTTGTTGTTTGACTTGCATCCCACTGGGATTTTTTGCACACAGCGTTGGTGTACGGTGCTTTTTTCAGGAATATTTTGCTGTTTTTTTTCATGGATTTTCTGTTTGCACAGTCACACATAGTCACTTTAAGATGTTTTTCTTGTTCGTGTTTTTGTTTTTTTGTTTGTTGTGGTTGCACCCGATTCAAGAGCCGAATGTCTCACAGGGCTATACCAAAATAAACAAACTGAAACTGAGTGAGTGTGCCGTGTGGGTGAGTGAGATTGCGCTGGGTGAGTTCGCTAAGTGCCGGCTGCACCCTCCCGACCCACCCACCACCCACCCAGGTCCCCGTCGGACCGCAGCCCCACGTCGCTGGGCGTGGCGGAGGACGAGACGCCCGCGCAGTACGCGGAGTTTGGCAAAAGCGACTCCCTCCTGTCGAGCCCCAGCCTCAAGCACAAGCTGTCTGACATCCCCGAGTCGCCGGTGAGGTCTGCTCGGCAGCGCCCGCGTGTGGCACACACACCCTGCTCGCGCACCCCGCCAGGCAGCCAAGGGGCTCGGAGCGCCAAGCCGGCAGAGCCCGGACCCTGGGTTCTAATTCGGGGGTTCCAAGCCACCGCCTGTGATTGAACTGCCCTCTCGAGCGAGTGCGATGCTCGCAGCCGCTTCATGATAGGCTCCCACGGAGGGCCGTAGACTCGCACAGAGACCCATAGACTCGCACTGTAAACCACGGACTCACAGGCAGTTATAGACTCACATAGAGACCCAGAGATGTGTGGTTTTTTTTAATGAGCCTGCGGGTGGCGGTGGAGGAGGGAAGGGAAAATCGGCGTCTTTGGCGCGGAATCAGCCGCCCGGGCCACGGTCGCCATCTGCTGTTCCCCACGCTCGCTCGCTCGCCACGCGAAACGGAGCGAGCACCACGTGGGAGGAGACGCGGCTGCCGCTGTCTTCGCTGCTACCCGGGGCCCCCGTCGGCCTGTGTGCGAGTGTCTGCGCTTCGCGCACACACACACACGCGTCGCTCTGCGCCTGACGCCAGACGGGTCCCATCCCCGGGGTTGTGCCGTGACTGAGACAGCTGAGCTGGTGGTGTGCGACGTCTCGTTGGCACTCGTGTAGCTGTGAGCTGGGAGCAACCGCCAAACTTTGATGATCTTTTTTTGGGGGGGGGCAAATAATTCGGTGGTGCTGCTTCTGCGACTGCTGCTGCGTTGGCAGTGGTGCAAATTCACAATTTACAACTCAATACATCCATCAATAGCACTGTGTGTGGCCTTAAAAGGGAAACAATATATAGCAGGCGACATTCTCGGCAATGGCCATTTTTCGTGTATGTTTAAAGAAGGTGCATTGCCCGAAACGTCTCACCTATTATATATTTTTTTCCTTTTAAGGCCGCAGTGTTATTTGACTAATTTCACGTTGGGTTTTGCGTTGTTTTTTTTTAAATGTCACTCATTCTGCACGGCTGCCGCCAATAACATGGAGCCTCTTTCCCCCAGCCATCCGTGTTGTCGGCCCCCTTCTGCTGTTAACATGCTGGCTCCAGACCTTAAATTTACTGTGTAGGAACCTCCTTGTTACACCACCAGCCCACAGGGGATTATTGTGTCCGTCCGTCCGTCGTGCATCCAAAAATGGGAGGGGTGGGGCTGGGTGGAGAGGGGAGGGTTGGGAGGGGCTGGATGGGGAGGGAGGGGCTGGGTGGGGAGGGGAGGGTGGGGAGGGGCTGGGTGGGGAGGGAGGGGCTGGATGGGGGGTGGGAGGGGTGGGGCTGGGTGGGGAGGGGTTGGTCACCCAGTGGTGCCCTTATAAAACTCAACGTTTAACCTACTCACACCGGCTTGTGCCCGCCCTCACTGTCGGGAATATTTGCGGAATACACCACGTGGTGCCGCCGTTGACCCTGGCCATTGACCGAGCAACCCAACGTTCCTACCAGCTCCCTCCGCAGGAATGTGTTAGTTCTCTATGCCAATCACCGACTTGCCTGACTCCTTTGCCCCTGTAAAACAGTTGCCCTGTTTCCATAGAGCTAGCTTGAGATATTATCGTAGTTTAGTACAGTTGGCGTTAGCGTTATTCTTGTAGCGAGCATGGCTATCGTCACAAAGGAAGGCGCTACTGTTTTTCACAGACGACTCAGCCCAAGGCCATAATTATAATATTTGGGGGTGATACATCCCCCCCAATATTCAAATATGCTCAAAATGTCCCCCCAATGTATCGCTATGAAATAGATTTCTGTTTATATGATTGTGGTTATGGCTGTACTTTATTCATCCCTAATCTCTGCCATTACATACAATGAAACAAGAAAAGGTAAAAAAGAAAAAACAGAGCAATGTAATACAATACACTATTAGACATTGTTGAAAAACAGAAATTAAAAGTGATAGTGAATTTTTTTAATATTTTAAGCAGGAAATTCGTTTTCAAATTTCGATTTTTTTTTCTCGGGGGGGGGGGGGGACCCACGGAACCCCCTGGAAGATTTGTTCCCCCCCAATGTTGACTCCATGTCTACGGCCTTGACTCTGCCTCAATTGAGTACCCGGGTGCGATGTGTAAACAAAACAAAAAACCTCCCGTGGGAGACAAAGGCGGCCGGGCGTTGTGCTGGCCACCCACCCCCTCGTGTGCAGTGCCGGCCTTCGTATGCGCTCGCTAACAGCACTTGCCCCAACAGTTCTATTGATAGCCCGTACGGGGGATCATTGCCTTTATATGCCCCCCCCCCCTCTAGACAGGAGAACGGCTCAGGTGATGGCTTACGCGATAATCCTGGCAAACGGGTGCGAGCTGGGAGCGCTCGCCTCGCACTGTTAGTGCCGTGGGTTTCTTTTTTTTTCCTCTGCAGGAGGACAATTTGCACGAGCGGATGTCGAGGTGCGGATTGGCGATCACGGGCGGGCGACAGATTGCGCAGCGCGCGCACAGGCAGACCGTGACACACGGGGAGATTTAATAAGAGCAACGCAATTTATTTATTTTTATTCGTTTTTCTTCAGAACACCTCCTCTCATTAAAGCGGCCTCCCAAAATTGTGTCATTTGTAGCAACAACAAAAAAAGCTACTAATAATCAGCTGTACCCTAAGCGCACCTGTGTGAGCATAAGGCGCGTGCGTACGTGAGCGTGCGGGTCCGTGCAGGAATGTACGCGCGAGTGTCGATTTGTGTGTGTACGGACGTGTGCGGATGTGTATGCGTGTGCGCGCGCGTGCACGAGTGCGCGCGGTCTCTGTGTGCACGAGCAATTACAAGTGGCGAATAATTGCACCGGTCGTGGGCCTCTTCTACGTCGGCTCAGACTTTAAAAAAAAAAAACGAGTACCTGGTGAGGTGTGTAAAAAACATCGCTACCGGGGGAGACAAAGGCTGCCGGGCGCGGTGGCGGCCACCCAGCCCCCTCGCGTGCCGTGCCGACCTTCGCAGGCTCTCACTGACAGCACTTGCCCCTACGGCAGTCTGTTAAAGGCCATGCGAGGGGAGGGAGGACCCTTTGTCTCTGTTCTCGTGCCCGCGTTCCCGCCGGCGCGTGCGCCCGCCCGGGAGCTCCCCGCGTGGCCTCCCCTCGCCGACGTGGTGGCGCAACACCGGCCCGACCTCCAATTCACCCACGACCACCACGACCACCACCACCACGACAACCACCAGCAACTTGAGACAATTGTTGTGCCAGCGTGACCCTGCGGTGTCTCAGACCCAAGTGTCGGATTATCCTCGTAGCAAAAGTAGCTGCTACATGTGTCGTATGTCGTAGCTGCATACAGTATGTAGTAGCTACTACACGTGTAGTAGCTGCATACAGTACGTAGTAGCTACTACACGTGTAGTAGCTAGCTATACGTGTAGTAGCTACTACATGTGTAGTATCTACGGGCCCTGCACTTTCAAGGGCCCCGCGCCAAATGCTTTCAAGCTATCAATTCCGGTTCAGTGAATCTGCACTTGCTCTACTACTATAGTACTACACCACCTTTTACGAACGACCGGGTGTTTAAGTTTAGCGATTTGTCGTATTATCTGGCTGTATAGCGAATGAAAAAATACAATTATTTTATTATGCAAGTTTAAAAAATCGTGTTTTAATATTTAGGTTTATTTATAATGGGGGCCCTTTATAACATAAGCTACAGGCCCCGCACTCCGGCACCGCTCAGACCCGTTGGGAGGCGGTGGGGGTGGTTGTGGTGAGGGTGGGCTGGGGGCCTTGCTCAGCAACGCCAGGCACCCCAGCCGGCACCCACCTGGGAACACCACTAAAACATCCCATTGTTGCTACTCTTTGGGTCTTTCGGTAAAGTCACGTAGATATAAGAAGAAAATAATAATAGAATAATACAAATGTGTTGTTTATCATCTCGCACGCGCTCGTTCGGTTGCCCGCTCAACCATGCGCTCCTTCACATCTCTCTCTCTCTCTGTGTCTGTGTGTGACGGCACACGCGCTAATTGATTTAGCGCGTGTGCCGCTCCCTCCACCCGCTGAGTGAACTCGATGGCTCAGGGCGGTTTTGTGTGACCCGGGGGGTGGGGAAAACGTTCGGCTGGACCAGGGGCCGGCAAGCAACAATAGCAAGAACTGAACCACTGTCTTCGACTTCGGTGTTCATTGAGCTCGGTATGTCAAGGGCTGCGATGTAACGTGAACGATGTCGTCACGAAGCGGCGCTGCTCAATGTAACGTGAACGATGTCGTCACGAAGCGGCGCTGCTCAATGTAACGTGAACGATGTCGTCACGAAGCGGCGCTGCTCAATGTAACGTGAACGATGTCGTCACGAAGCGGCGCTGCTCAATGTAACGTGAACGATGTCGTCACGAAGCGGCGCTGCTTCAAGAGAGCCACTGCATTGCGGCTGCGGAGTCGCGGGGTGTGCCGGCTCCTGCACTGGACGGCTGTGGGGAGCCGTGGGCCCGGGGTGGGGGCGGAGGGGGGAGGCCCCGGTGGGAGAGGGCGGAGGGGGGAGGCCCCTTTGGAGAGGGGAGGGGTGGGGGCGGAGGGGGGAGGCCCCGGTGGGAGAGGGGAGGGGTGGGGGCGGAGGCCCCCGGTGGGAGAGGGGAGGGGTGGGGGCGGAGGGGGGAGGCCCCGGTGGGAGAGGGGAGGGGTGGGGGCGGAGGGGGGAGGCCCCGGTGGGAGAGGGGAGGGGTGGGGGCGGAGGGGGGAGGCCCCGGTGGGAGGGGGAGAGGTGGGGCGGAGGGGGGAGGCCCCGGTGGGAGAGGGCGGAGGGGGGAGGCCCCGGTGGGAGGGGGAGTGGTGGGGGCGGAGGGGGGGAGGCCCGGTGGGAGAGGGGAGGGGTGGGGGCAGAGGGGGGAGGCCCCGGTGGGAGAGGGGAGGGGTGGGGCGGAGGGGGGAGGCCCCGGTGGGAGGGGTGACCCCACTAAGATGCGTTGAACGTGTTAGATGACCACAACTGGAACGAGCCTGCGCTGCTCTCCGTCGGCGTGAACTCTCACTGACGTGGGCGCGCGCGCCACTAGGGGCCGCCGTAACGAAACGTTACTTCTCAAGGCCCTGGATTGGTAAGGGGGGGGGGCGATTTTTTGTTTAAATTCTAAGCGCGTCTGAATTGTTGTGACGCCCCCCCCCCCCCTCTCCTCCCCCAACCGCGCCCCCCCCCCCCCTTTTCAACGCCAGGGGCAGCCGCGGGACATCGCTCTGAAGCCCGCTGACTCCGTTCGCTCGCCGATTTTCTCGTTACCTTGATAATAGTTTTCCGAGCGATCCTAATTAGCGTGGGAGCTCTTGGGGAAGGTGGGGGGGGGGGTTGGTGGGAGGGGGTTGGTGGGGGGGGTAGGGGGGGTGGGTGGGGGGGGGGGCTCGGCTTTGATATCCAAACAGCGCCGCCGTCTTTCGAATTGGCTGAGAACGTCGTCGGCTGCTCTCGCAATTCAAAGCGGTCGGGTGGGGGAGCGGCGGTGCCGGGGAGGTGGTGGTGGTGGATAGGGGGGTGGTGGTGGGTGGGGGGGGGTAGGTGGGGGGGGGGCTCGGCGGGGGTGCGGTGATGAATGGAGCGCGGTGTCGATGGTTGATGTCACTGCCGCCGCCGCTGCCGTGACGGCACCGTGAGCCGTGGTGAGACGGCGAGGCGGGTTCTGGCACTGCAGTGAGTGGCGGCTGCGTCTGGGGGGGGTTTCTCCTCCCCACCACCTGCACCACCACCACCTGCACCACCTGCACCAACACCTGCACCACCACCTGCGTAGTCACCTGCACCACCAACCCAAACAACACCTGCACCACCACCTCCACCACCACCTGCACCACCGCCTCCACCACCACCTCTACAACCACCCTCCGCATTTTTAAACTTTGGGTTCAGATGATTTTCGCTGCCGTGCAATTTCCACACGATGTAAGTAAGCCACTTCTGTTGGAGCTATTATTTTGTGGCCAGGTCGCTTCTGGAATAAAATAAGTTTAATAGCTCAGTGGGCTTTACCTGGTAAGATAAAAATATATATAGTTGAGTTTAATTTCTATATTTTTTATCTTAAGTGATTTGTTCACCTTTCCTAAACCTGGCACTCCTATCGCGTGTTTTGTACTGCTTGTTGTTGTAAATGTTCTTACCCGCCCTTACTGGACATCTGTAAAAAAAAATAGCTTCATAGCTCATCGGATTCCTCCAGTATAAATATTCTGAATTTCAATTCCGCTCCAATCTGTGCCCCCCCACCTCCCCCCACCTCCCCCCACCTCTCCTTGCCCTAACTCAGCTGAGCGAGCGAGAAAGCGAGTGCGAGGCGGAGGGGGCCGTACCGGCGCCCGCACCGTCCTGCGACTTCGCCGGCGAGCCGGAGCCGGGAGCGCCTCCGGCTCACTCCTTCGTGGACCACTACGCCAGCGAGGCGCCCTACTACGGCTCGTGGCGGAGGCAGCGGCCTAACGCGCGGGCGTGCTGCGGCGAGCGCGGCGAGGCCGAGGGGGCGAACCACGCGGTGAGGCAGTACCCCTCCGCCGAGGGTCTCGCCGGTCTGGGTCCGGGCTTCACCATGTCGGGATTCTCGTCCTTCGTGTGATGGCGCAGCGACTCTGCTGGACAGCTGTGGCGGAGGTGGGGGGTGGGGGGGGCAAGGGAAAGAGCTTCATAGCTCATCTGATTTCCCCGGTGTGAATGAATATTCTGGACTCACGCGGAGAGATGACTGCACAAGAAGTGGGGAGAGGTGTTGCTGCGGGGTTTGTTTGGGGGGTTTTTGTTTGGCGCAATGTCCTTGCGGAAGAGAGAAAGGTGCACTCACGTCGGGAACCTCATTAACAAACAAAAAACGTTGTCCTCATCGCACGGAAAACGACGGAGCGACGATAAGACTGAATGGAAACGAATGCAACGCTGCAATAATGGAAAGGGGGGAATTCAACCTGACGACGCGGGGGGGTGGAGGCGGGCGGGGGGGTCCTTGGCTTGAGTCGGCGGCCCTCCGCACAGCGGTGGCCTCGATAGACGTCGCGAAGTCCCCGGTGGACGGCCACCGCTGTTCTCCGACGCGACCGCTAACACCACGCGTGGACAACGGAGCTGCAAGGTGACAATAAAGTAAAAGTGTTTTGACGCAGCAACGCTCCACTGTCCCGTTAACGCGAGCTGTCACACAGAGTCGGGGGAGGAGGGATGCTGTTGCAGAAACTGGCAATGGTGTCTGGGGAGAGGCCTGCCTCGAGGACGTCCCTTTAGAAATCGTTACTCCTGCCCTCGTCATTGCCCGCGATGGTAACAGAACAAACAGGAATCTTGCCATGGTGTGGTGACGGTGGAGGAGGAGGCTGGGGAAGCCTTCTGCTATGATTCTGAACTGAATGGCAACGGGATAAGCTGCAGTGCACCACCCCTCCCAGAAAACTTGAAAAACCAAAACGTCTTCATCTGCCGACGCCTTCTTTGAACGTGACCACACGAGTTGCTTATTTCTTTGCGTTCTTGGTGCTGGTTGGTGGTGGGGGGGGGGGGGGGGAAGGCATTGTGTTGTGTACGTCTGACAAGATCAAGACGACGGCATGGCATTATTGCGTTTTGGCTCCAGCGCGCCACGGGGCGAAGAGATGCCACGGGGGGGAGAGAGGTGGCACGGGGGGGAGAGAGGTGGCACGGGGGGGAGAGAGGTGGCACGGGGGGGGAGAGAGATGGCACGGGGGGGAGAGAGGTGGCACGGGGGGGAGAAAGATGGCACGGGGGGGAGATAGGTGGCACGGGGGGGAAAGAGGTGGCACGGTTCGCTTGGAGAGCTCACCGCGAGATGGCACAACAAGTCTGGAGAGGAAGGATCTCCATGCTCCCGACAGCGATCACAGAACTGCGCAAAATTTGTTCACTTAAAAATATATATTGTCGGTTTTTATTTTAATAGCACACGTGTGAATATGTTTGACTCGTGGAGAGGGGGGGGGCGGGCAGGGGAGGCATCTGGAGACGGTCACGCGGTGGAATTTTGGTGACATCCCCGCGAGGTTGGCTGTGATCAAGGCGGATCGCGCTCGGCCGCGAGAGGCTTTCGCGTCACAACAAGGCTTTCGCTTCGCGGCTCAAAACGGCTCGAGCAAGCGACGGAGAAGGGCCTTTCATCAGCCTCCCTCCCTCTCCCTTCCAGGCGACACCGACGCGTCTTCTTCTCTCTCTCTCTCGCGCGCGCGCGCCCGGCTCATCCTCCGCCCCGTTCGAAATTATGCAAAATTGGCGCCGTGCGTGATGGAGGATAGGGGGCGGCTTTGCGAGGCCCTCTCAAAGAGACAAGTTCAGTCACAGGGTTTTTGCCCGTTGTCAAAACGCCTGGCGTTTGTCACTGCGATGATCTCCTCCTGCCTGCGCTCGGCACGCTTCGGTTTCTTACGGGGAAGCGGCAGGCGGTGGTTGCCGGTAGCATCGCCGATTTGTCGGTTGTCATCGAGTCGCGAGCTCGTAATCCCCAAGGCATCGAATCGCACGCGTCTAATAGCTATTATTTGTACGAATCGTGTACGTTCTAATGGATTCACGTGACCGCCGCCTCCAGCCACTAGAGGCTGCTACATCCGCAGTTATTTAAAAAAAAAGAATCTTCTCTTGTCACCTGAATCGCAAATATTTGTTGAACCGGGGGCGGGGGGGGGGGCGGTTAATCGATACACTTGTGGGGAACGGCTGGTAACGTCGTTAATCACAGCAGCGTCAACAGTACAAGTCGAGATTTTTTTAAACAAATATTTATGCTTTAAACAAGTAGCTGACTTCAGATGTCATTGGGTTTATCAGCAGCAGTCGCCTTGATCTATCCACCGCTGGGTGAAGGCCTCCCAAGCCGCCGCCGCCGCCATCTCTCGCGACGGATGTAGACAAATCCACCGTCGTGATATCGTCGAGCTGAACGAGAGTAACATTGGTTTTTTTTTTATCACGGTCGCCATCGGACGTTTGGTGCGTGGACGCGCACACGTCACTCCTTGTCACCTGTCGACGTGAACCATCACCTGGCATGGCATTGATTTCCTGCTCACCTCAAACAACAACAAAATCCGACCAATAGGAGCCAGAGATGGGTAGCTGTGCCACGTGGTTGAAGCCATGTAATTCCGCCAATAACGTTTATATCGTGTGTCGTGTTCACTTTATATCACCATTACCGTACTCTAGAGGTGAATAAGTGTTGACTGGATGTTAGTGTTTTTACGGTCACTAGTTCTGCAGATCATCACATGAATGTCCCTAGGCTAGAAGCGTCGTTTTTCTTTTTTTTATGAATATCATTATTGTCATTCAGCCAGTGTAGGGCTTAAACGGTTATGGTTTTGTTTCCGTTAAGTATGCCGTTAAACCTCCACGAACAATCCGCAATTTGGTACCACACAATTTTCACCGGTGAAGCAATCTCCGCTCGGTACTCAACGTCAAAAACGAGAAGTGTGGGTGCCTACGTGATGATGACATTGCCAGCGTATGTCACGAGTGTGTGCGCGCCAGTGTGTACGATAATGTGCTAGTGTATGAACATCTGTCGGTATGCGTGTGTGCCAGTGTGTATGCAAACATCTCAGTGTGCCAGTGTGTGTTTGAGCCGCCCCGGTGATTATGTCCATTTGTGTAGTGTGTGCCAGTGTGTGGTGTACCTTTGTGTAGCACACGAACAGACAACCACACTGACAGAATACACCACCCCCAACACAAAGATGAATATCTGTGGAGTGACGCAGCTGAGGCTGACAATTCGGATGCCTTATCTAGCCTCCATTCCCAGGTATGGACTAAAGTGGCACCTCGGGACAGAGTCATCTTCTTAGGTGACCTCAACTTCCGAGTGGGTCATGGCACGAGCACTTGTGCAGGGATAATTGGAAGACATGGGCCCGATCAGCGAAACAAAAACCGGTTCAGGTTGCTAGATATTTACGGAGCCCAAGGGCTTGTAATTACCAATACACTATATTCTTGGTTCTTTCGGTAAAGTCACGTAGAAGGGAAACAACAAAATGATAAAAATATAAAACAATAAAATTCTCACGACGTTTCGACTGCAACACAAGCAAGCATCATCAGGTGTGAAAACCACAGCAAGAAAATTTGAAAAAAGTGGCGTTTTTTTAACGTTAGCACCACGGAGAGTTATTTGGCAGTTGTTCAGATGGACGAGTCCATCTATATTCGGAAAGAGGAGGGGGAGACGAAGAGAATGGAATGCGGTCTGAAAGCCACCGTAAGCGTGAACAATCAATTAAGACCCGAAATGGTTTATCAAATCCTTCCAATGATTGCTAAGCCAGAATCCATATTCTCGGTTGAAATTCTCTCTGTGTTTGTGTATGTGGATAGCCTCATGGACGAATCTCTCATGGTAGCCAGATGGCTTGCAGAGAACCTCTGTCTTGGAGAAGTCAATGTCATGTGAGCCCACTGAATTATAACAGTGATCTGCCACGGCCGAGGTGTTGGTCCTACCGTGTTTTAGGTCAGCTTTGTTTTCACGGATCTGTCATCGACACAACCACAAATATATTTGATCCAAGGAAGAACATCTGCTGGGCTGTGTAATCGTAGATCAGAGAAGGCGAGTCTGTGTTCCTGACGCCAGCACCTGCTGTGGCACCCATTTGACCACCACCAGTGTCATCTATAATATATGCATGCATGCCATTCTTCCACTGTGGGGGTGGGCATAGACCTAGGACGGCATCCAAACCCACGATAGCTTGGTCTCAACTAGCTATTGAAAGTTGCAAGTGAGAATGTTAACATTGCTTCTAACTTGGGTTGCATTTCCCCCCCCTCCTCTCCTGCCAAGGAGAGAGGGGGGGGGACACTGGCTGGTGGAGGAGGTGTTTCAGCTGACCGGGCTTTTATTCGGTTGGATCGAGGGATCTAAACAGGTGCAACATGAGCCAGAGAGATGACAGCCTCATGTGGGACTGGATATGTGTGCGCTTGCCGTTGACTAGTACCATCGATTTCGAGATCGGCCTCTGTGGAGTCGGCTTGTTAAGAGACTTCCTGACAGTTAAAGGTAAAACACAGCATGGTGGCATGAGTGGGAACCACGCGCTGTGCATCTGCCAGTCACCTCGGTCTATTTATCCCTAACGCCTGGGTGTGTACCACGATTGCCTGCCAGCAGCGAGCCTTCAAACACTTCACGTGGGCTCAAAGTGCACCTAGCCTGGCACAAAAGACCATGGTGACATCGGGGTCACTTAGTGGCGACTGGCGCTTGTTCGTGTGCCTGTGCGTGGCTCTTCAGCCAGCGTGTGTGTGTGAGGGTGCGCCAGATTTTTGTAGCGTGTGCGTGTGTGCTTATTGCTGCCATTGGCCACACTTTCAACCTGTACACGATATGAAGCCCTATTTTTCGCCCAAGCAAAATCAGACAATTTCATCATAAAATCGCCAGGTGAGGAACATCGATTGCAGTACTGTACACGTTTCGTTGTTGTTGTTCAAAATTGTGTTGACATTCAGTGCTGTTCATGAGTTTCGAACATGATCTGATGATTTGAGAAAAAGCAATAATCGATGATATATTCAATTATAACAATTTAGCTTAGGCCCTCAACTGGAGTTGTGACCACCGGGCCACCACAACTTCAGTCGCCGCATTCTGTTTCGTGTCACCCATTCGCAATATATCCCCGCGTGGAAATATGTATCATCGCTGTTGATAGCACCGCAAAATAGACGTAGCAGCTCGTTCCGTTATTTATTCATGTACAGTATCCGATTATTTATTTACACGATTTGTACACCTATTTATTTCACGGGCACTTAAATGTCTTGAAAGGGTGCGGGGTGTGTGGTGGGGGGTTGTTGATATTTCGCGGGTCGACGCGTTCGATTTCGGTTCGCGCGGTTGGGGGCGCACCCGAGTGTCGCCCCACTTTTCCGTCACGGGCAAAAAGGTGCGGTGCTCTGTTTGGCCCGCAGTGCGTGCGTGTGCGCGTGTTTTTTTTGTTGTCTCTCTCTCTATGTCTGCTCACGTAGGACGAAGACGGCTAGCAGACCAATATGCAACGGCGCGGCCCTGCCCTCCGCCTGGCTCTCGCGGTGTACAAAGCGGCTGTCCCCCGATCCTCATGCCCCCGGTCCCCCACTCCACTCCCACTCCCGTGCAACCAATCCGGTCCTCCCGTCGGCCGCACCGAGGACCAATCCCTAACAACAACTCTAGACCTCGCGCGTACCTTCTTCCTCACCCCTCCTCCTCCTTGACCTCCGTGCTGACCCAGTGCCAGAGGTCACTCTCCATCGGCTCGCAGGCCCAACCGCCCAATTAAAAGTTTCCAGAGCAGGATCGGTTCCCAACGGTCCAATTAAAACAACAGCACGGCGTTTCGTGACGGGAAAAGGATGATATCCGCATCAAGCTCTGCAGACCCCAACTGCTCGGTGCACGTGGAACGTTGGCCCAATGTTCGGCCAACGTTAGTCAAACGGTTTCAAGCCATGGCCTAGATGACCACCAAAATGGTCTGCGGAACTGTTGCATATATACGCACACACGCGTGTCTTTTTTTTCTCACAAAATTTGACGGTGGCTCGCGAAAAATCGTCCAGGGTCGACAGTCAATTTTACAGGTCAACGAAGGAATGGGAGCCACACACACAC